CGGTCCTTTAAGATTTCAGAAGTGACTTACTCGTACCTAAGTCAAGGGAAAACCTTGAGTTTCCTCAAAAATTCTGTTGTTTCATCGATAATCGTACGAGTGAAGGAACAGACCACCCAAGATGGGCATCCTGATTCTCACAAAGCCAAGGACTCCAAAGTTTCTAAAACCTTGTTCATGCCCACTATGATGGTGGGGCCGAAAAAAAGGGATCGCGTCAAGAAAATCCAAAAGAAAAAGGCTAAGCGATTTCTGGGCACCACCGTATTATTGGACTTCCCAAGCCCAACACCGGTGCCGATGAGAAGCTAGATGATCATATATCTACTGGCCTAGCTTCTAGCAGTAATTAAGGTTCAAATATCGAGGAAGGGAGAGTTCCTACGAGAGATTTAACTACCACTGACATTGCTGAAGCGAAATCCGTAGGTTCTAATGAGGAAGACCCCATGATTTTTGAACTTGAACAGGTACAGTCAGTTCCTTTACACCCTAACTTCACGTTCTCTACTAAGTCGAGGAAGCATGGAAGGCCAATCAGGTCTACGACAAAGAACAAGAAAGGTAAAAGGTATTACATGTTTTACTTTTGCAGGAGTAAGAAACGCAAGGGAACAAGCTTGGAACACCTTATGACTAGTACCGGCGATAGACCCCGTCAATCCTTTAATTTGCTTTGCCAAGAAGTTCACAACGTTTGTACCCCCAATCCCCACTTTAGTTCTTGTATTAGCTTAGCTAAGAGAGTTAAATTTTCGCTTTGTACTCTTAATTCGGTTGGGAGCTATTCTCCTTTTTTAGTCCGTTGTAAAAAAAAAAAAAAAAAAAAAACATTGGTTGACATATATGTACTTCAGCTTCACAATGATATTAAAGGTCGTCACACACTCACACATGTTGGTAAAATACCTATCGATTCCAATAACAAAATAAAGAAGATGAAAAGGAAAATACTTGATATATAGATGATCTCAATAATATAGTTGTTCCGCAGAATAGAATCTATTGCATTAGAAGCGAAATACGCCACCACCGGTACAGGTTTTGTGATGATGCACCGCCCCCCAACGTTAACACAACTCTCCTCGTAATTCGTGTACCTGAACCCAAAGAGTGGAATTATTCAAGAACTGTTCAGATCTCAAAGGGTAGGTTTTTGTTTATGTGTTTAGGGTTTTTCAAAAGTTGTATAATTGAAGAGACTCTCGTTTGTATTTATAATGTTCCAATACAAGGAAACAAAATAAATCTAAACCACCTATCGGTTTACGTTGTGCCCAACTAGGCCCAACTGATAGCCACTTCAAATAATATCCGACGCACTCGGTCGTGTAGAAAAAGGTACATGACCGTGTAGATGAGTTCGTATGCAAAGCTACACGACCGTGTAGAGTAAGGTACACGGCCAAGTATATCACACGATCATGTAGTACAAGGTACACGGCCATGTAGTGGATAGTTGTACAACAATGAGTTTTCAACCAAGGAGTAACTCTCGCCTAATCGGTCGGACGAACCAACCCATTTAAGTTTGAGATAAAACCTTTCCGGTTGCACTACTAACTCCAACAACACGAGTTTAAATAAAGATCATTATGTTACAATTAGAGTCATTATGTTCAATACAACATTATTTGCGCGAGTATAAGTCCACAATAATATTATTGTGAACCAGGTAGACACAAGTTTTTTTTATCGTAGAAAGTCTTAAAATGGAAAGTAGAGCATCGACAGAGAGGGTGATCGTGTCAATCTAAATCAAGACAATTATAAACCACAATTTAGCAACCAACACTTGTATATCAATCATCCTTTATATGAGCTGTATTAGGGACATTAGGTGTTCTTACAATACTTAGTGCTCGTTTGGTTCACATGGGAATTAACTTCCCATGAGAATTTATATTTCATGGGAATTAAACTAAATTGTTTGGTTGATACTATAGGAAATTGCATTTCCTAGGAAATTCAACTCACCAAGGGGGGAGTTGGTGAGTAATTTCCCATGGGTTGTGGGAATTTGTATATCCCTTGAAATTGCTATTTCCCATGTTTAGCTTATTTCCCTTCAACAAACACACCTTCATTTTAATACTTCCTAGGAGATCCCATTTCCAAGGAAATTATCTTCCAACCAAGCAACATCTTAATGCAATAATGCATGTTACATGATTCCTAAAAAGTGGAATCCTCTAATTCTCTTAATGACATTCACATAAAATTTTTATCATTAAATTTGATCGATCACACATTTCATATAGTTTCAATACTATGCGTCGATTGATTCTACTTCATTTTAAGGAAATCTTTGGTTTTAGCATCATAATACGTACGTTCATGAAAGAAACTACACAATTTCTATGGATTTACAAACAGACTGTGTAAATGCATTAATTAGAGAGCTTTTGAGAGCCAAGGGTGTCGAAGATAAAGAAAATAGAGGCTAGTAATAGATGTAGTTTTGTTGTGCAACTCTTTATAATACTAATGTTGTAATCATGTCCCTAGAAGTGTCATATCTAGAGTCCATAATTTGACTGGTTTTGTGACAAAAACGCATAGGGTTTCTATTTGTTCCACTATTGCCAAAAGATGTTAGGTTTTACAGTGATTTTAAACAAGAAAACACTTAAATAATGTGTGGGAACAAAACCTAGATAATATGATTACAATTACAAAGTAATGTAATTAATCAAATACAACAATAGTATTACAATCAAGTATTATATATCTAAGTAATTACTGAAAATTACAAAGACTACACTAGTGTGAAGAATTAAACTTGCCTTAACTCCAAGCCGTAACAACCAAGCATGAACATGAGAAAACCCGATGTCCCGTAAGACTAGATCCTTGATACACTGTCAAAGGCGTGTGAACACTTTCCTAAAGAGGTTTATTTCCCCCACACGGTACTTGGGTTAAACCGGAAATCCTCTTGAGATACAATTGACAGCAATTTCGTTCTTAGTACTAGAATCGAAATCAAGATGATAAGTTCACAAAATTTGGAATTATTGAAAGAGTTTTCTCACAAAAGTTTGCAAGAAATTTGAGAGAAAAATGTGGAGAATAAAGTTTAGGGAGATGAAGAATCTTTTGTATCTTTTTCCTTTCACGAATATGTCTTTTAATAAAAGACTCAACCGTCAAGAAAAAACCGCAAAACAGGGAGGCGCGGGCGCGCCACCAGTTGGAGCGGGCGCTCCTCCCATAAACTGCGAAAATTCACAAAAAGGCAGTGAGGGGCGCGGTTTAGGCGCAACCAACAGCGCGGGCGCGCCACCCAGGACGTGCGGGCGCACCATCCTCACCCTTCCAATTTGCCAAATTCCAGAGAGGTACGCGGTTTAGGCGCGCTCTCTGCGCGGCCGCACCAAACTTGTGCGGGCGCTCCTTCATGGTCGCGATCGCGCAACCATCAACTCTCTAAATACTCAACAAAAGAAACAAGAAAGCCCAGGTTTATCACATTAATAAACATGAGATGTTTATCAAATGACATTTTTGTAAATAAAAAGCCTTGGTTTCAGCGCTATACAATAAAAAAATATTTTCCAACCCACTTGGACAACTGGCAATGACGGATGAAAATTGACGGAGTTAGAGAGCTTTCTCCATTGAAGTAAGGAGGTGCAATAGAAATTAGTACAATGACGTACCTCTAAGCTCAATCAATCGTGAGCTTCAATGGAGGAATAAATTAGCTTCAATGGACAATCACCATTTCTCCACTGGATTCCCACGGCTTCGCTGCCAAATTAAACTAAAACCTTAAGAAAAATGGAGAAATCAACTAATCAAGGGCATGGTTAACCCTAAAGGGTAGGGTTTTCACTACAAGAAAAATGCATTTTCGCAGCGATTATATTGTAGTGATTATACATTCGCTACAATATGCATGTATGTTTGTGAAATTGTAGAGGAAATCGTATCATTTTACAATCGCTATGGTAATCCTATATAAAATCGATATGAAAAACATAATAATACATATCCACCCTTTTTTTGCACATTTATAAAATTATTGGAAATCGTGTCGTTTACAATCGCCACTAAAACCCAAAAATCGATACGGAAAACCTTTTTCACACTAGATATACAAATATTGTTTGACAATAATACATAAAATATGTCATAGCTTATTAGTAAAATATTTAATATTAGAGCTTAAGGTTGCATGTTCGGATATTGTAAAGATCATATGTGTGATTTTTTTTTTTTTTTTTTTGGAAGAAAATGAGTTCAACATTTTATAGCGATTATAATCGCTACAGTAATCACCACGATTGGAAGTAGTTTTTCGTATCGATTATTGAGGACAACACCAACGATATTGAAAAACACTACTAAAGGCTATGGTAACGACGCATATTGTATCAAATAACCATTCGTTGGGAAAGCTTTTTGTAACAAATACAATCGATACCAAAGGTTGGAATAATCGCTACGAAAAGGTAATTTTCTTGTAGTGTTTACCGTCCTCCTCCATTAAAGCTACTTGTGAGCTTCAATCCCTCCATTGACGCTCTTCAAGTGATAACACGCCGCCTGCTACTTCAAGACTTTGAGTGATGATTTCTCCATTAACTTGTTGTTTGCTCCTTTGAGACTTCAAGTGATGATTTCTCCATCAACTTGCCACCTGTTCCTCCGAGTGACGACTCAGATGACTCGTCGCCGTTGGTGGATGGGCCAATGAAGAGAGATGATAAAGCTAGGTGGGTTTCTGGTTTCTCATTGTTAACATCGAAGGGAAAGTTAACGCCATTAGTTAGATTGTCTAAATTAAATTACACATATACCCCTCAATGCACACATAATTGTACCATTTTACCCCTTGATAAACTTCCATTGTTTAACAATGTTATAAACTTGAATTTACTCAAATTAAAAGAAACTTCATACTCGTACTTTGTAGTTGTTCATGTATAGCTCCAGAAATAGACCTGATCAAATTTGGTCCGGCTCGAAAAAATGTCGAATTTAGACTTGATTTTTTTTTATAAATTTTGGGTTTTGAGTAGCCCAAATTTATATTTTTAGTTAAAACTTCGGTTCGACCCGATTAACCCAAAATAGCGGGTTTGGATACGAGTTTTTTTTATAAGAGAGGGCAATCAAGCAACAAATTATGTTAATTCCTTAGGTCATTTTTTTTTTTAATTTTTTTTAAAGACTTACTTCCTTAGGTCGTTACATGCAAACTTATCATCCTTTTTAGAAACTAGGAGAGGAACAAGGTGGACTGGTTGTTGGCTTGTTGCCTATTGTCGTCTTCTCTGCTCTCTCCTCCTAACCTGCGTCTTAAGGTATGATCTCATCCCTATTTTTTACTAAATTTTCCCTCTTTTTTTCCTAGGGTTTTCGAATTTCACCTCTGAATTTCGATTATTTGCCAACTATTGATCCTATAATTCACAAATCAAAGATCAAAATTCACAATCTTTGATCAAAAGTAACAATCAAATCATCACAATCAATAAGAATTATTTGCTTAATTATCGAATTCCTACAACCATGGCTAACGCCGGCGAGGATGAATCTGACGCCAAATTAAGTGACTTAGAGGAGGAGGATAATCAACAGGAAGAGATTAAACTAGCCGTGAATTCACCAGAATCGGAAATTTCCGTTGAGAAATTCAATGAATTACTCACTGAATTTGATCGTGAGAAGCAAGCAAGAATCGCTGCTGAAAACTCGAAATCGGAGCTTGAAGTTCAATTTAATCGGCTTAAAGTACTCGCTCGTGAGGCGATTAAGAAGCGAGATGAGAGTGCGATTCAAAGAGATGAGGTGATTAAGGAGAGAGATGATGCGATTAGGGCAAATGAGAAACTGAGTAATGAGTTGTCGGAGGTGAATAAGGCGAAAGACGAGGTTTCGAAGCAGTTGGAGGAAGCATTGAAGGGGAAGGAATCTTCGAGGGCGGAAATTGAGGCTGCTGCTCAAATGTTAGTGACTGGGATTGAGAAAATTTCAGGGAAAGTTAATCATATTAAGAATTTTACTGCTGGGGGTTTGCCCAGATCACAGAAGTATACTGGTTTGCCTGCTGTTGCTTATGGGGTGATCAAGAGGACGAATGAGATAGTCGAGGAGGTGGTTAAACAGATTGATTCGATTGCCAAGTCGAGGGATGAGGCTCGTGGAATGATGGAGCAAAGGAATTATGAGATTGCTATTGAGGTTTCTGAGCTCGAGGCATCGATTAGTCAGTTGAGGGATGAGGTGACTGAGAAGAGTGGTCAAATTGAGTATTTGGAGAAGAGTATTGCTGAAAAGGATGAGAAATTGGAGGAGATTGAGAGTGGGATGTCAGAGAGGATAGGCTCTGTTGAGGATGAGAGGGAGGAGTTGAGGAAGTTAGTGGATGAGTATGACGGTAGGATAAGGGAGTTGGAGTTGGAGATGGAGAAGCAAAGGCCTTTGCTTTTAGAGCAGTTAGGTTTTGTGTCAAAGATTCATGATCAGCTGTATAATGTGATCAAGATTGTGGATGCTAATAATGGGGATCAGTCGGAGCTGTCAGAGTCTTTGTTTCTTCCTCAGGAGACGGGATTGGAGGAGAATATACGGGCTTCGTTAGCTGGGTTGGAATCAATATATGAATTGAGTAGAATTGTTATTGCAAAGACGAGGGACATTATGGAAGAAAAGAGTCGTGTGGTTAAAAACCTAAATGAAACAGTTGCTCGATTATTTAGGGAGAAGGAGCATGTAGGGGTGTTGCTAAGAAGTGCTCTGTCCAAGAGGTTAGCCTCAGTTTCAACATCTGAAACAAATACTGTGTTCCAAGTTGCAGAAAACGGTTTAAGAGAATCAGGGATTGAGTTTAAGTTTGGCCGTGTTCTTGAAGATGCGAGTAAAGAAGGTTCACAGGAGACAAAAGATGATGAAATATATGCCTTGGTAAAAAATACTCAATTTCATCTGTTTTTTTGTGTTCATAATACTGCCATCCTCATGGTGAAATTATCTGTTTGACGCTGTCTAGGCTGGCGCATTAGAGGGTATTATTAAGGAATCACAATTGCAGATTATTGAGCTTCAACATACAGTGGAGGAGCTAAGGTACATCCTTAATTTCCGAGAATCTAAGACTGATTTGTATCTTGTACTTCTTGCAGGCAATATTGAATTTGAACCATTGGTAGTAATATGCATTTCATATATCTGTCTAGTGTTCGTATTAGCTACTCCTTGACATTGTGTTTGGTTGGCAATCTTAGAGAGAATGGGAAGGTAAGAAAAGAGGGGAGGGATGGGAAGGAGGAAAGGGGCTTGCAGTTTCCTTCTAGATCTTTTCAACGATATAAGGTTCTGGTTTATAAAGAGGGGATGGATCCTTCCCATCCCCTTCCCCTTCCCCTTCTCCATTTCTGTATCCAAACAGAGGACAATAGATCCCTCACTCATCCTTTCCTCCAAAAAATTTCATTTAATCACACTGCTAGAGATTCGTGTGATCTGGAATCTATGATTCTTGGCTTCTAGTCAAAACATTTGATCATTAGGGCTTAAATTAAGCTTCAGTTTGGCTGTACCAATTTCGTGCCAGTTTTAGGCCTTATAGCAATCTTTTTTTTTTTTTTTTTTTATCTTCCTTCCATACATATATTATCACGCCTGAAGTACACTGTCATATTACACTTTAATGGTAGAAGGGAATATTGGTGGTTTTCTCTTCTTCTTCTGGTGGGGTGAGAGAGGGAGAGGGGGGGGGGGGGGGGGTTGGGGATGTGGCTTCAGACTTCATGTTGCGTGATTCTTGCATTGCTTTAACACTATAAACTTTCTAGTTGTTGTCTCTACCTATCTGGTACAACGATTTTGTCTTATTTGTGTGGTCTGCTAGTCGAGAGTGCTTTGGATCATTTTTCCCCTCAGTGTTATCAATCAGTTGTTGCGGGCTTTATTTTTATACTCTCTGATTCACTAAAATTGCTACACTTTTGGGTTAATGCACTATTCACACACTCTGCTTTGACTAGCTTTTATAATTTATAGTTAAGAAAAATATAGTCATGTGGGATCTTGTTAGATTCATCTTGATTTATACTTTCAAAATATGAAAATTTTATAAGTTTTACTTATTAAATAATGCACTGGCAACCGTGAAATGAAAAGTTTTGCAATTTTACTGTAACGGAGGAAGTAAATCATTATTGCTAACTTAGTGTCTTGAATAAGGTTCCTGCCTTTTGGTGTATGGGTTCATTGTGATACATATTGCTGGATTATCCCACTTTCTTTGTTGTACTAATCAGAGTGATCATCATGGTCATTGTATGGAACAGTATCAATGGGACCTTTTATATTGTTCACCTTCTGGGAAATAAAAACTTGTTATACCTAAGTCTGACACTGATATCCAACGCCTTAAGGAAGAAGGTTCACCAGTTTTTGAAACCTGATGTGAGTTTGGGAATTCAAAAGTCTTGTTTGGTAACCAATAATGACATCCCAAACCCATACATCAAATCCTTTTAACACCTATACCTTAATGCTTAAACACAAGAAGAATATGGCCATATGGGTTTGAGCAGATACCCCCACTCTTGAAACTAATATTTCTTATAGGTCAGGTTCTCTCCAGTCACCACCATCATAGATATATCTACTGCCGCCACATCAATTTCATAATTACGGCCGTCACCAGTTACTCTGCCACTTCCAATATTACCAGCGAACACTACCCCTTTCCATAAGAAGAAGCCGTGTCACCAAAATTTATTCGAGTTACCAGGATTTCACTTATTAATGGAATCCGCCAGCTGATTACACTTTACAATCATCATATACACCAGCAACCTCTGCATTGGTGTTCGTCGACTTAGTAGTTGCTGGGATTTGGGTGCTTCACGTGTGCCATAGCCCATGGATTTGGTTGTTTCATGAGGTATTGCTGGAAGCCTGGGTATAGGTGTTTCAATAGGTTTTGTGTCATGGAATATTATTGTTGCTCTAGATTCAATCTGAATTTATTTGATTAATGTCCTTAGTGTTTATCTGAAGGTGGGTTGTGAGCAGGGTGGAGGATGTAGGGTGATTTTATTAATATGTATTCTGTAGCAAGCAAACCCACTTGGTAGGTAAGATCAAATCAACCTCTAATTGCATATTCATTCTAGAATGAGTCTTTGGAAATTGACTAGTTAAGATAGAAAAACCTAACAAATCCATTTAGGATACTTTTAACAAGTTGAAAACCTCCTAATTGTTAGAGTAACAGAGTTGTATTATTTTGTTCTCTCAACTTTGAGTGAGTGTTTGAAATGAAATATCTTGAATACATAGAATTGTTAGAAAGAATTCTTCTACTAATTTATAACATAAATTGACAAAGTTTCGAAAAAAATTAGGTTAACATGACTATACCCATTTCTGTTTTGAGATCACTGAATTTTTCACAGAACATGAATTTAAAGGTGTTGAATTTGGTTGTTTCTCAAAATTTGGGGTTTGTCATCTCCAAAGTAATTGTGATTGTACTGCTATTGTTGGTATTAGGTGGTTTCTGAAAGGAGTTTTGTTTGTTTAATGCTGAATTAGTTTACTGATTTGCCTTCTCTTTTATTGGCTTAAGGGCAGAGTCAAGTTTACTTAAAGAACATCTGGAGACCCAATCCAAGGAGCTCAGCCAAAGAAAGCATCGTATAGAGGAACTTGAAGAGAAGGAACGACAAGCGAATGAAAACGTAATTTTTTTCTTACTTGATGTGATTGGTACATTGTTCGAATTTTATTCAAGAAACCTTATCTGAGGGATTTAAGCTTCTCTTTATCATTAATTTGTCCAATCTTCAATCTTTTGGTATAGACTATTATATGGAACCCTTCTTTTCAACTGACTTATCATGTTTTAGATTGAAGGGCTTATGATCGATATTGCTGCTGCTGAAGAGGAAATTACAAGATGGAAACTGGCAGCAGAGCAAGAAGCTGCAGCTGGAGGAGCTGTTGAGCAGGAGTTCCATGCTGAAGTATGCTTTGATACTCTATTGGAACTTAATTATCTAGTACTTCGTAATGTTCTCTTCACCTTATTTAAGGTGTTATGGTCAGACGTTATAATATCTGGTTTGGTCTGATATGGTTTAAATTGTTGTCTTCATATAATCTCTATTATTAAGCAGAATCCTGATAGTTAGACAATTAGACTGTGTACCTTTTATCGCCACTAGACTAGAAAAATTCAGACCATGCGAGACAAAATTAGATAGCAAGAATAACAATAAGAATAAGGTGAAGACAACAAAGCCTTTAATGTTGAGAGTATTGAGACTACTTGAGAAGTTAGAGTTCAATTCTTTTGAGATCAATCTTTTAGTGAAAGGCAGGGGTAACTTTTAGTGGTTATTTATGACTATTTGTAAGGGCTAGCCTACTTCTTTTTCCCCTGACCTTAATCCTCAAAACAGGCATTGCTAAGGTGATGTTAGTGGGAGGAGAGACAGGAGGGGGGTTTTGTGGTTTTTTTTTTTTTTTTTTTTTTTTATTTGCCCTGGCCTTAATCCTCAAAACGGAGGAAGGGGGGTAACTAGTGACAAATTGGGTGTACATCAAACATCTCATACTTATGATCATTATTGGCAGTGTTCTAGGGTCATAATCCTGTCTAATATGCTGTTTTAGGGGTGTTTGGAGATACTTTCTTACATCCATGGTCATGTTAGGGGGCTATGTATTTCTTTTTATGAAAGGACTATTTTATACTCCGTATTCTTGAGGTTTTGAATGCCACGGGGGTGCTCCTATCTCTTTGCTCTCTGAATGCTGTTTCAGGGGTGTTTGGAGACACATTTCTCACATATGTTCATTTTAGGGAGCTATTTATATCTGTTATGTAAGGGCCATCTTATATCTGCAGAAATCATGACTTATAGAGCCTTCAAATGTGACTTTAGACAAAATTGAGGCTTCTTTGCAGATTTCTGTCAAAACTCTAAACTAATGGCTTTTAGATGGGAAAATTGCTTATTGCCTGAAAGCCTTCTCATCGGATAAATTGAAAGGCTTCTTGCTATGGAGGTTGTTAGATCTTCTCGTTCTATTTTGACGGTGATAAATTAGTTTCTTTCGTTTTGCTAAATGCACTTGGATAAGCTTAAAAATGTGGATGCATGGATATAGGTTTAAGGATTTAGGTTTTTGGTTTTCCCTAATTGCTTTCATACGCCTCTACCTTCAGCCAGCCGTTCTGCTCTTTTTATTTTTTTTTTGTGATTTTGTGATCTTAGGCGTGCAACTAAATGGCCTTTATTCTCCTTCAAAAATAAAAATGGCCTTTATTCTATTGCTGCAGATATCTTCCCTCAAAAAAGAAGTTGAGGATACAAAGCAAGCAATGTTAGAGTTGGAGAAAAAGCTCAAATTCAAGGAAGAGACAGCTGCTGCAGCAATGGCTGCAAGAGAAGCAGCTGAAAAATCATTGAGGTTGGCAGACAATAGAGCCTCTAGATTAAGGGATAGAGTGGAAGAACTGACTCGTCAGCTTGAGAACTTGGACAATAAAGATGATAACAGGAATAGCACTCGTCCGAGATATGTATGCTGGCCATGGGAGTGGCTTGGAATTGACTTTGTTGGTACACGACGGCAAATTGATATGCCAGAGCAGCAAAGTCCAAACGAAATGGAACTGTCGGAACCACTTTTGTGATTTTTCTTTTTTTGGGGAGTTACATTTATAGTCAATTTATTGATCTCTTCTGGCTATTTTCTTTGTATAAAAAAGAAATTGTAGCTTCATAGTATTGAAATTCTTCATAGTTTTTGTCCATAGAACACATCAAAGTTAAACGAGCGTGTTTACTGATCAGCACTTAGGTTCTAGGAAGCAGGTGATTCTACTTTGAAACAAAATGATAATTGCATTGTAACCAGATAGATTTGAGTAACAAGTGAAGGTCTTTCTGCAACTTTCTTTTCTACAAGGTGTCTTGTATAATGTATGTATGCTCCTTGTTTATGACATCTATGGCAAGCGATGGGTTGTTGTCTTCTTGACTATATTCTTGCTACTCTTTGATCCCGCTCGCAATTTTGATTTGCTGAGTCTTGGATTAGCTAAGTGCTCAAGGGTGGCGCAGGATGTCTTCCTTAGTTCCACGGGTAGATTTCTTTCCTGTGCTGCTTGGCTTAAGAAGTACTCTGTAATAAAGTCTCATGTTTTTGAGATGTCCAATTATAATCTTAAAATTTGTTGGTAATTGTAAACAAATTCATCCTCTTATCAGTTTTTTTTTTTTTTTTTTTTATTTTTTATTTTTTTTTATACCCTGTATATTTTCAGCTTTATAAAACAATAGTGGGGTGTTTGGTATGTGGGATTATGAGGTGGGAATAGGATTATTAATCCGAAGTCTTCATAAATCCATGTTTGTTTGATGGGAATTAGATTAGGGAGTGGAAATAAGCTTAGGAATATATACCCTATATTTCCACCATTTTATTACCTAGGAGGAGTAGGTAATAAAATGGTGGGAATTCTCTAGCTAAATAAAAGATATGATTGCCCTCAACTTAATAATGCATATCAATTTTGAGTCCTTGAGATTCAAAACAATAAGAATAAAATAGTAAATTTGGCATTTAATTCTAATTTAATTCCCACTTATATGCCAAACAAGAGATTGGGAATATTCGATAAATTCCCACTTACCAATTCTCATTCCCACTTCTACTTATATTTCTCAAATTCCCATTCCCACATACCAAATGCCTCATAAGAGTAATATTCTATTTTTCATAGGAAAATAGTACTCATTATAAAAAATAGGCAAAACTAGCCTTAACAACACAATTTATAGTTTGGGTGCTCACATCAGCATTACCTCTAACTAATGGCGACCCAATATTACATCAGAGAAGGGGTCATCGGTGTTAAAAGGTGGTGTTGTCGGGTGCGCTAAGCCATAGTTTGTACAATAAGGATGAACACTTGTAAACAGTCAAAATCGACAATGAAAATAATGGTGCTAGTAAAATATAAACCACCCATGTAATGCATACGTCAACAATGTTATGGACTTATGGTGAGTAATGAATGGGGTGAGTTTGGGTTTGATAACCAAATAAAGAATTCTTGACATGTTTATAGGGCCTCGGAATGTCAAGTTAGTAATTGAAACCATCTTGTGCAGCATTTGACTACCAATATAACATGATTTTGGAATAAACCTATTGTTAGGCATGTTATAAATCCAAACCAAGGCATGTTATAAATCCTTAACATTCACTTTACTTTGAAAAAATTGCTAAAATTGGCCCTGAAACATTAAATATATATTCATTTTTTAACAATGTTGAACTTTTTTGGGCATAAAACGGTAAGTGGTTGTGATGCTTCCCATAGACTCCATGAGACCATGAGAAGCTATTTGAGTGGTTTAAACCATCCGTTTTATCTTTAAAGTTTAAGCTATCAATTATGTACATGTCTTCCTTCATTAACATAAAGTCACCACAGACTTTTATATGACCAATAAGAGAATGTATATGATTCCAAATAACATTATATGACCCCGATATGCATCCCCTACCATCACTCAGAGCTTTAGACACCGATCCAAAAATCTATTAAACTGCTCCAATTTCATGTACTTCGTATTATAGATCTATATCCGGTGTAAATTTTTGGACCCGATAAGATTATGCATTGAGGTGATTTTTTTAGGGTTGTGAAAAAGGCCCCGGGAGACATGCTTGGTGCTCGAAAGTCATAACCATCTCATTCATGCCTTAATATACCCCTCGTAATCTTTATATTTTATATAAATTAAAACTTATATAGAAACTTTTCATAAGAGTGAGGGATGGTTCTGGTAATTAGAACTTCCCTCCCGATTTTAGAGATCATTTATTATATCTTCAAGATTTTTTACAAAACAATTGAAGGATAATGATTATACAAAGCATTATTTTTTATTTTTAGAATTTTTACTTGTATTTTTCATGTTATACTCTAGGTGTATAAGTGTATTTACAATTTCACATACTTATCTTTTGTTTTGTTTGTTTTTTTGTTTAAGTCTAATTTTATATGTTGAAGATATATACCTCCTTTGTTATTTTAATATTGCACCACTTAGTTTTTTAAGAAAATTTCACAAATATTGCACTATTTTCATTTTAGGACAAAAATTATCTCTGTTCACACTGCAAATACCAAACATACTTTTACTTTTTCACACTTATTCTTTAGTTTATGTTTACAACACATGAACACTTTTGTATTTTTTTTAACCTTTTTCTATCTTCTTTTTTCCCACCACCAAAATTATTATGTCCAAGTTGTATGGTGCAATAATAAAAAAAAGGAGGAAGTATATATTATTGAAACTTGTTATACTTGGTACTTAAACCTATATTTAATTGGAAAAATGAAAATTAATAATCCCACCTTTTGGTGGTCTTCTCTAAATAGTCCCACCTTCAATTAATCTCAAAATTATCCCACTTTTACACCTTATCTTCTTAAAATGGTCCTTTTTACCGGTTACTTATTAAAAAGGTTAAAATCATCTTCTTTTCTTTTTTTTTTATTTTTTTATTTTTTATTTTTTTAAGGGCCTTCTACCACCATTACCAGATTTACCACTACCACCATCACCAACAATACCAAGACTTCAAGGGCTCACCAACCAAGCAACCATCACCGGCAAAGCCACCTCCTTCTTCGCCCCTTGCCAGCCATCAAAACCCACTCGGGAATCTTACAAGTTCTTAACCCAAACTAAAAACCCCAAACCGGATTGTTCCTGCCACTTGAACCCACCACCAGGACCACCCAAAGTCCTACGGTACCTACCCCACTGAATCCCAACACCCCGAAACCAGACCGTACCCAACCCGAAAACCCACCCCAACACCCAAAATCCAACCCTCCCTCCACCACCAAAATCTACCTCACACTAAAAACCCACAACATAAAAACCCCACCCAAGTCACTCTAAACCCGTCCCACTGATACAGACAGGCTGGTGGTGCAGGGGTGTTTGTTAATGACGACGAGAGTGGTGAAGGAGAGGTGAAAGAAAGGACGGCGGAGGGGGCGCAGACGCTGTCGACGGTGGTTTTGAGTAGGCAGGGGTAATAGGATGGGGGAGGTATGAGAGAGAAAGCTTTTCTAATAATTAGAATTAATATTAAAAATGCTAAACCAATAGAAATGTGACAAGTGTTAAGTTAACCTATTAAACCGGTTAACAATCCATCAAGGACAGCAGATGAAGTTCAAAGGTGAGATTATTTTGAGATCAATTAAAGGTGAGATTGTTTAGAGAAAACCACCAAAAGGTGTGATTATTAGTTTCCATTTTTCCTATTTAATTTTTAAAGTAAAATATGTTATATTCTTACATTTACAAAACAATACATTTTTAAATATGTGGCTGACCACACGGTATGGCTGGAGTTACTCGATCGATCAGGGGTTACTTGGTCAGGGGTTATTCGGTCAGTCAGGAGTTACTCGGTCAGTGTTTTGATGTGTGTGGTGTGTCAGCCAGCCACACGGTGTGGCTGGCCAGGCCGGGATTACTCGGCCATGGGTTACGGTCAGTCAAAATTTACCCGATTTGTGTTTTGGTGTGTGTTAGCTTACCGCTTTTTAAAATTTTGTTTAATTTTTTTAGTGTTTTTATTTAATGCATTTGTCGTCAAACCTAATAAGAGTAGAACAAAAGCACACGATTAATTCATCAAAATCAAACGGTATATATCAAAGATCTTGCTCCCTCATCATCTTGTGATGAAAATCAACGGTTGAGATGAAGTGAGACAGAGTGAATCCAGTGAACCGCCGCACATGACGGTAGCGTCCCCAGATATGAACTTTTAGAACATCCAGATTTATACAGACAGTAGAGTCGCAAAATTAGGGTTTTCAATTCAATTTTAGCAAAAAAAACGCAATGAATTCACATCATCTTAACACTGATCTGATCTAATTCTTCTCTATTTTTCTGTTGGATGATGGAAATGGAGTATATGCGAGAAATCCCTAATAGTCAAATGGATCGTCGCCCGAGAAAAAGACCCAGAATTTCGACCTGGGAAACCCCACAATCTTCCAAGGTGAGTCCTCTTTCTCTCTCATCTAATTTGGTTTTTTCTTCTAATTCTAAGTTTAATTATTACTGTGTATGTGATTTGTGTTGAAATTTCATCTATTTTTGATAGCTGCTGCTTCTGTTTGTATGGAATTAGGGTTTTCTTGATTAAGGTTGAATTTGATGATTTTGATGCAATTTAGTCTTGAAAAGTGGGTTTCAGCTGAAAGTAGAGATTTTTTTTTTTTTTTTTTGATGGGGTTTTTGTTGGGGGAGGAGGGGGTCTTAAGCAAGCTTGGTGGGTTGGTTTGGAGGTTCACGGGTTCATCTATTATCATCAATTGCCCAGTGTTGATTATGTAGTTGCAATTTATTCTTTGCTAATGCCTTGGGGGAGGAGGTTATAGTTTTGGCCAAGTAGTTGATGCCTTGGGGGAGGAGGTTATAGTGTTTATTTTGCGTGAATTCGGGTACGATAATGAGCTGGTAGTGATGCTATGTTGGGTTTGATTATCGATTGACTTTGTGTAGTGAGTGTGAGTTCTTGTTGTTTATAAATTTGTAAAGTTTTTCTGCAGCATTGTGTTTAGTTTCTTTGTATTTTTACTGATTGATCATTTTGAACCATGGTTTTTCATATCTTCTTGTGATTTCTTCATGAGTGTGGTTTGAGAGGGATAAATGAATTGGCATAGTGTGAACATAGATTGATTTTCTGTAAGTTAGAAATGAATCGATGACTGGTGTGTAGGCTCAGTCAGGATTATATAGTGGCCAAGAGGTTGGCAATATCACAAGCTTTGGACCAACAAGAGTACATTTGGAGCATCCTAGTCATTTTGTGAAGGGATTGAATGTTCATAAAGGCTCTCCACCATGGCGCGATGATGACAAAGATGGGCATTACATATTTGAGCTTGGAGAAAATTTAACACCTCGCTGTAATATACTGCATTGCTATCAAGCATACCTTTCATTCTTCTTCTTCTTCTTCTTTTTTTTTTTTTTTTTTTTTTTTTTTTTTTTTTTTTCTCTTTTTTGCATGTGGAATTTGCATTACTTTCATCACCTGTCTCCCTTTGATAGGAAAATATGCTGTCAAGCTTGTGTATTCGTTGACCCTTTTTCAATTTACTTGGCGGCAGAAAATTTCAAAAGTTGTCTGTACATCAATAATTGTTGTATTTTAAAATTTGCTTCTGCTTTTAAATTGAATAGCCTTTTGAAAATCATACTACCTTTTATAAACTACATTTTTCTTTTGTTCTTGGCATATCTTCCTCCTTAAATTTATGAACATTATCAGATTATTATGAGTCAAATGAAACAATGTCATTGTTAGAACTTAGAGCTTTTAGTACTACAATGATGCATTCTAGTTGGTTGGCTTTCTGATACATTTTGCTAAAGCTAAAAGTGTTATGGATACTAACTCTTTTTGTTTTACTTGTATGTGCAGATAAGATTCTTAAAAAGATCGGAGAAGGTTTGTCCTATAATATCCATATAGGAGAATTTATGATTATAATAATATCCCTATCCTTGTCTCATATTTGTTTTGTGTAATTTATGTCCAGGCACCTTTGGTCAAGTCCTAGAATGCTGGGATAGAGAATTGAGAGAGGTTGTTGCCATAAAGATTGTCCGAAGTATCAAGAAATATCGTGATGCTGCAATGATAGAAATTGAGGTGCTCGAGCAGCTTGGGAGACACAACAGAAATGCAAATGGGTACATGCCTTTCTATATATTATTCCATTTTGTTCTCCATTTTTATTTTTTTTGGTGTTGTCAGGTTTAGCTTATCTGAGGTGAACGTGTTGATAATGGGTTAAATGAATTCATCTATGCAGTTGTGTTCAAATACGAAACTGGTTTGACTATCGTAACCATATATGTATTGTAAGTATACAACTGTCTGTGATATTATGATTTCCCCAGCTTAAATATTAAATGGGGATTAAGACATCTGGATGAATATGATTGGTTCAACAGGTGTTTGAGATGCTTGGACCAAGCTTATTTGATTTTCTTCGGAAAAACAATTATCGATCATTTCCAGTTGACCTAGTTCGCGAGATCGGGAGACAACTCTTGGAATGTGTAGCATGTCTGTGGTTATTGACCTTAATTCTCTTTTTATTTTGTAATTTTTCTTAATTAAAGCAATTATAGTTATAAATCGGTACGATTTTGATGAATTCATGCACTGTCTCTCTCTACATCGAGTGTTTACATTGACCTCTTGTACTTGATGATCTATCTTTTTTACTTCTCCAAGTTTTGTCTTCTATTGTGTAGTTATATATTTACTTGTTCAGTTGGAATTTATAGTCTTTAAGCAGGTGGGATTGTTACGGTACCTTACGTTTAGTTTGGTTTCCTCTTGCAGTCATGCATGATTTGCGCCTTGTCCACACTGATTTGAAGCCAGAAAATATACTTTTTATTTCTTCTGAATATGTAAAAATACCAGATAATAAGGTATTTATAAATATTGGGTTTTTGCTTAATCTTTCCATTTAGATTTAATCTGTGTTTTCCTCATCTAGATTTCTATTTTGACTGTTTCTCCGCCCTTGCAGATGGATGTGGACTAATAATTGTGTCTTGATTGTTTTCCTTTGCAGGGTACTATGAGAGAGGGAAAGAGGCTGCCTAAGTCTTGTGCAATAAAGGTTATTGATTTTGGCAGTACAGCTCATGGTACCCAAGTGCATAATTATATTGTTTCTACTAGACATTATCGTGCACCTGAGGTCATTCTTGGTATGCTGATTATCATAATTTCTTTGCTGTAAGCATTTAGGAAATTGTCATTGGTATTGAAATTTCCCTTCTCTCTTTCTTTTCTTTTCTTGTTTTTCCTTATGAAGGGCTTGGATGGAGTTACCCATGTGATTTATGGAGTGTTGGCTGTATCTTGGCAGAACTTTGCTCGGTATGCCATGCTACTACTAATGTTATTGAGATAGCTTTTGTATACACACTTCAAAATTCTGAACTGGCCCTTTTATTCTTTGTTAAATTTTTGGCAGGGAGAGGCATTGTTCCAAACACATGAGAATCTGGAACATTTAGCCATGATGGAGAGGGTTTTGGGCCCCTTGCCAGACCACTTGTTAAGAAGAGCTGAGTATGTGCCCAGTTTAGAAACTTCTGTCATCAATTGTCATGTCTATGCCCTATGTTGATGGGTCCTAAGCTGTAAATTCTGGTTACATGAAAAGTCCTATATAATTGACAACTACTAGTATTATAGAATTGCTACAGTTGCCAGGTTATCATATTTTAAAATAATTTCACCTTTTGATTAAAAAAAGCTATTATAAATGCTTGAACAGCTATTATAAATGCCTGAACTTTGGTGGTTGAATTGTTTTAAGAAACTTGATAAAATCATACAGTGTATGAAAGTGTCAGGAAATCATCACAAGAATGGATAATCCCAAGACATGTGTAAATGTCTCTTTTGTCCCAGAAAGGGGGACTAGTTGGTAACTGATTGATATAGCTGGTTTTATTTATTGGTTCGACTAACTTATTGTATTAGGTGGTTTGACTATAGCCTGGTTGTAAATAGCTCGTTAGGTTGTAGCTGATATATGAAATTAGGAAATCTATTTGGGATGATATGCAGATTAAACTAGCATTAGTTACGTTAAAGAGATAGCTAGGAATGGACTTTTTTCTTTCTATTCCCCTTTTTTTTTTTTTTTTTCCTTTGACCTTTGAATGGAAACACATTTTTTTTGACCTTTAACTGATATTTGGACCTTTTTGTTTCCTTTAGCAGTCGACATGCAGAGAAATACATTAGACGGGGAAGATTGAACTGGCCTGAAGGTGCTACTTCCAGGGAAAGCATCAAAGCTGTTCTGAAACTGCCTCGTCTTCAGGTGTGTATACCCTCCTTATCTTCTTCCCCTGCCTCTGCAAGAATAAGAGTGTGTGATAAAACATATCTGAAGTGGGAATTGAACTCCTTTTTCAGAACTTAGTGATGCAACATGTGGATCATTCTGCTGGAGATCTCATTGACCTCTTGCAAGGGCTTCTTCATTATGACCCTACCTTGAGAATGACAGCTAGAGAAGCCCTCAGGCATCCCTTCCTTACAAGAAACCGCTACAGGTTCTGAATGGTTTCTCACTGTTGTCGTTTGTACTAATCCTCTTCTGTTTGTAGTAGATTAGGCATATTTATCCTCTTGTTCCCTAAAAAGTGGGAAAACATTAGATTGATACCTCTAGCGCAGTTGCTTCTTCATTGCGAGCTGTAAATAAAAGGATGTTTTGAGTGGAATTCATCTTGAAGCTTATTAAGCTGAATCTTGCAAATCCTGGAAAGTACCAAAGATTTAGAAAAATTCTGATACCTTTCTTTCAGCATCAGTCTGCCGCTTTTGAATTTTTGCCGATGTGATTAGTCTATTCTCCTCCTCCCACCCCCCCCCCCCCCCTCTTCTGGTTTTGTTTTCCTCCCTCTATTTTGTTGTGCTAATATACCTGAAACCTTTCTGGTATTATTTTCTGCATGTCTTGTACAATTATTTTTCAATATGTGGAAGACTTTAGCTTAATTTTTCTGAAATTAGTGAATATGAGGTTATGACAATTAGATATTTAAATCAAATGCATCATTTGTTACAGAAATCTAGATCTATCCATTGATGGAAATTTGTATTAATGGTTGAATGATAAAATTAATAAATCTCAAACTCAAAAATTTACAAAAACAAATTTTTAAAAAATCTGGTCCTGTCTGCCTAAGAATGCTTCAGTCCTTTGTCCTACAATGGCTGGTTAACATAACACCACTAGGGGGGCCTGTCAATTCAATTTGACAGTGGCCATACAACCAATAAGAGTATCTTAATAGGCTTCCGAAATTCGATCTTACATGAAAAATTCCATCAACTTCAAGTGAAATCCTATTTCTCTGTATCTGTGCAATGAGCTGCTGTGTGACACTCAATGGAAGCCTAACCTGGCTGCTTACAAACTCCACATTGGCAAGCTTGGATTCTGTGTTAAAAGCTGAGAATGGCTCGATGTACTGATTAGCAATGAGGTGCTTGTCAAAGTAAAGCTGTAAGACCACATAGTTGAAATCTACGTTCACCTTCTTATTTGGATTTGTGAAATTGGCAAGCACTGTGATGTCAGAGTTGAGGAGGTAGCCCATGTCGAGATATGCAGCATTGAGGGATGCACTTGATATCTCGAAGTGTGGGGTCCGCGGGTGGTATACGAGGTATATTATGAGCACCAGGAGGCCTCCCAGTATTATGACTAACCATAGGATCACACAGAAGACTGCTCCAAACCATGTTAGTGGCTTGGTCCTGGTTGGTGTAGGGTACACCAAGTTCTCCCGGGGCGGGGGAGCACCATGTTCAAAGCTCACATGGTGTGGGCGAGGGTGCTGTGAATGGGGCTTGGGCCGTACTTGGGTGCTTCCCAAAGGTGGCCCCTCAACAGGGCGGGAAAGTGGTATGGGGTGTTGCCGCTGTGGACTTGGGGGGCGATGACGCTGTGGCAGGCTTGAGGGCAGTTGATGGGCATGTTCAGGAGGGCTTCTCGGAGGGCGTGCAATGGGGGGTGGTGGATGAGGGGATGACTGCCTTTGCCGAGGCCTTACATGTATCATATCAGGCTGTTGAACATTATCAGGATGATGAAGATGACCGTCCCAAGGTTGCCTTGGTTCTGGCTGAATATGCTGTGGTGCCGGAAAATCAGGCTGGTCGGGCCAGAAATGAGGGTTGGTGTCTCCATACCGAGACATGAATATAGATGGTGAGAGAGGGGTGAAAGAAAATAGCGAAGCAGTGGCAGTAAAGAGCTAAATAATGTAAGAAAAGGAGATAGTGTTTGAAGGTGGTGAAGGAAAGAAAAAGAATTGTCACTTAGAATAACAGCTGAAAGTGAGGAAGAAGATTGATAGAAAGGTAAAGTATCACATAATAGTTCAGCAAGGGAGGCAAGCAATCTTTCTTTGGCTCCCTTTTTGCTACTGTTGGTGTGCCTTAATATGCTTATCTTAATTCTATGTTGAAGAGTGTAAACTTTGTAGATGGAAAAGTTTTCTATCCTCTCCATGGATAGATGAATATTGCCTTTAAAAAAATAACTAAATAAATAGAAAATATTCTTCTATTATGATTTTGGAGATTAAAATATGTTTACATTAAGTAATTGCTAAATGCATGAACATACACCTCAAATGTAAAAAATTGCCCCTCCTCCTGTTTGTTCTGAAAAAAAAAATGTAAAAATTAAGTTGATCGATGTGTCCCTTCACCAAAATAAACCTTAGTTTTCACCTAAAATATTGACCTTGGTACTCCCTTTTTGTTGGCTACTCTCGTGTGTATTCGCCATTTTAATTCAAATTCATACTTCTTAATTACTTATTGAATCAAAAGTGAAAAATTACAGAGAGGAAATAAATGTGAATAACTCTAATGATATTGAAGGTAAATGGATTGTTTTTTTAGGTTAGGAACAAATGGAAGATTGTCTATTGCACAATCTCATATACAAAACATCACAACTAAAGTACAAATCAAAAGTGCAAACGTTGCAACATAAAAAACTAAAGTACGGAGTATACTCTTCTATAGATAGCATGTCCAATATACCTTCCTTTCCTCCCATATTTTAGTTGGTACGAGTACATGCTAGCAGTGTAGGTGAACCCCTACACTTTCTCTTTACCCCAAAGTCCAAAGTAGCTCATCCTTTTTTCTCATCTTTGCAAACAACAAAAGCCATGTTCGGCTGGGCTAGAGTTTAACATAAAGCGCATGACCCAACATGAAACATGGGCCCTTTTTTAGAGGGCCTTGTGCGTTTGTGCCTTGACTTACTACCCTTAAAAAAACATTATACAATTGAATGAGCCTAGTAATGCAGATTACAGAGTGAGATAGAGTAAGGGATTTTTTTTATTTTTTTTTTAATTATTACTATTTTTTCTTAAAATGTTAATAGTTAAACATAGGCCCTTTTTATTAGAGGGCCTTGTGCGTTTGTTTTTATTTTTGTGTTTTGCTTAGTTTGTTTGTTTGTTTTAGAGCTTGCCCCTTTCTTTCACCAAAAAAATAAAAAAAGTAAAAATAAAAATAAAAATTATTGAGAGAAATGTTAAAAGCTAAAAGTTTTACTTGTTATTAAGAAAATCTTAATTTTACGCTTTTATTAAGAAAAGTAAGGTAATAAAAAACAATGATTAGATGTCACTATGTCACACATATATCAAGTATTAAGACAATAAATTAACGTTAGAAAAAAAAAATGTAAATAGGATTAGTTGTTTTGGGAGTTGATAAATATTTTGATAAATGAGCAGAGCTGCATTTAAAATATATATGTACGAAAAAATGTGTAAAAGAAAAATTATTTTAGTCTGATAAATAATTAAAATGTAACTAATAAAGGGGAACACACATAATGGTAAGAGTCATCTTTCAAGAATAGAAAGAGTGAGTTATTTATTCGGTCAATCAATAGTAATTTGTTACAACCAATTGTAGGTCTCTAAATTTCAGTTCAATTTAGATCATCAATCATAATGTGTGCAATCAATCCTAAGTGCTAAGCAAGTTATGCTGAGCCTAGTCAAAGATGTTCATCAATATTACTCATAAGTTAGGACTACTTTGAGTAAAAAATTCAAGATGATAAGGTCAAATAAAATAATTTATTGCTAATAAGTTCAATTAAGATTAATTCTAAATTAACACTCCATAATTTGTATGTTTAGATAGCATCAAATAAAAACGCGGGTGAATTGAACACTACCTAAAGGTTAAAGTCATGTTTTCTTCACCTTGTTTTTGTTGAACCGATATTTTTTTACTCACCTAAAATTACTTTTGTTGAATTTAATTTTTTTGCTGAATTGAAATTATTTTAACCGATCAAAACTTATTTTTGTTATTATAGAATCTAGATTATATTTGCTTTTTAAATTACTGATTTATTGATTATGAAATGAGATTATTTTCATTGAACTAAACTTAATTTTACTCCCCCAGTCCCTTTGTTACAAGTCTGTATTCCTTTTTTGGGAAACCAAAATTACATGTCTATTTCTATTTAAAGAATGTACTTTTTTTTTTACAACATTCCCTCTTTTTTATGAGTTGTCATCATTTTTCTTTTATTTTATTTTTTTGTACTTTTGACATCATTTTCCAACATTTTTTCTCTCCATTTCTTCAATAATTACCAACTATCTTTTCTTTCTCTATATCTCTGTCTAACCCCATATGTATATCTGTATTTCTCAATCATGGATTTTAAGGAATCTTTAAATTTCTTAATTACTAAAATAAATTATTTTTTAATGATTTAAAATAATGTTTACTACATATTATTATTTTATTTTTTAAAGCGAAGAAAACAGAATCTAAATTGGAATCAAATCCAATCATCAGGAGCCAGATTAATTTCGATTTTTGGCAAGATATAACTCATAAATGGAAATGGTTGCTTGTGTAAGCGGTAGTACATAACATTAAGAATGAACGTGCGGCTACAATTCGGATCAAAACTAGGATGAGAAGCACCGTCAGATCATGGAAATTGGAAAGATGTTGAAAGTTGACCAGTCAATAAATCCAATGTTCAATCACCAAAATATCAATATAATCCAACCAACTATCATTAAATAAATAAATACTTTTATAATTCAATTTCCCCATTTTCCCAAATCCAATTGCTTCAATTCATTTCATCAATTTCGCACACTACTTACACACTCTCTCTCACTTTCTGGGAAAAAGATTGGTGGTCAGCAAAATACAGCACTTTCTATTTTCTCTTTCCTTAAATTCTTCAATTTTCAGTGAATTTGGTATTAAATAACAAAAACCCATTTCAATTTTCATATTATATCTTACCTAAAACGTCTCTTTCTTGTTGCCAGATTCTTCGTAGACTTGTTTACAAGTAAGTAAGTCTTTCTTCAACATTTTCGTCTTACCCAGAAATTGATTTTACTTGTTCAATGTTTTTTTATGTTTAATTTTCCTTTTACTGGGTCGTCTTTCGTGTCTGAATTAGATTTTTCTTCCTTTGAATTGTGGAATTCCAAGTCTAGGGTTTTAGGTTAGAAAAAGGTGGGATTTTTTTTAGAATTTTCCCCAAAAAAAATATAATTTGATTTTCTTTAAATGTTTTTTAAGTATTTATGATAGGACCCAGTTATTGTATGTTCTTTCTAGGAAGAATCCTGAGATGGGTTTGTATCAATTAGTTTGAAATTTGTTGATTTATTTTAGGGGGGAAGGGGGTTAGTGAGATGTTAGGTGCAGGGGATGAAGAGGGGCAAGCTAATGCCCGGAGAACTTATCTTAGGTCAGTTTCATGGTCTGATAGATCACCTAATAAGCCTAATCCTGTATACCCTAGAGCGCAACCGAGCAATAAAGCTCGGTCTTGCTTGCCGCCACTCCAACCCCTTTCGATTTCTAGGCGAATTGTGGAGTGGCCTAAGGCGGGGTCGGATGATCTGGGGGTTTGGCCTCTGCCTACTACCCCTGGAGGGAGAATTGGAAGTGGGTTGGGTGTAAATTCGAGTGGGAGCTCGAAAATTGAGGTTACTGGGAGAGAGTTTGAATCCAATAAGGATAAGCTTGCTTTCTATGAGAAGGAATGCTCAAGGATAGTGGAGCATATATATTTAGGAAGTGAAGCTGTGGCTAAGAATCGCGAGGTTTTGAGGCAGAATGGGATCACTCATGTGCTCAATTGTGTTGGTTTTGTTTGCCCCGAGTTTTTCAAGGGTGATCTTGTGTACAAGACACTTTGGTTGCAGGACAGACCATCAGAAGATATAACAAGTATCCTCTATGATGTGTTTGATTATTTTGAGGATGTTAGGGAGCAAAGTGGGCGGGTTTTGGTCCATTGTTGCCAAGGGGTGTCTCGATCTACCTCTTTGGTCATCGCATATCTTATGTGGAAAGAAGGGCAAAGCTTTGAGGATGCTTTCCAGTATGTGAAGGCAGCTCGAGGAGTAACTAATCCTAACATGGGGTTTGCTTGTCAGCTTCTTCAATGTCAGAAGAGAGTTCATGCCATGCCCATTAGTCCTAATTCTATTTTGAGGATGTATAGGATGGCTCCACATTCTCCATATGCTCCCCTTCATCTTGTACCCAAATTAGTGCGTCATCCTAGTAAACGTAGTCTTGACTCCCGTGGGGCATTTATTGTCCATGTTCCTTCTGCCATATATGTTTGGATTGGGAGGTATTGTAGCTCAATGATGTCTAATAATGCGAGGAAGGCTGCTCAGCAGGTCATTAAATATGAGAGGGCACAAGGACCTCTTCTGCCAATAAAGGAGGGTGAAGAGCCATCTGAATTTTGGGATACTCTGTCCAGTGGAGAAATCTTGAAAGATGGTACTGAAGTGATAGAGTCTATAGAAGGCGGGACTTTATGTAGTGGAATAGTTGATGAAGACATGGCCAATAGTGATGTTAGCAATAGGAAAGTTGATGAGTACGATCAAGATTTTGAGATCTTCAACAAGGCACTTGCCGGTGGAGTTGTTCCTCCCTTTACTTTGTCGAGTTCTGTGAGTGAAACTCATCTTCCTGCTCGGGAAAATGGATGGGGTAGATTGAGGAAGAAATTCGCTAATGGTATCCTGAAGGGATTTTTCTTGTCACCTATTGCTTGCCAGAATACTCCACCTGTTCTTGAAAGTGGAACTGACTCCCAACATATTGGAGAAGAACCTGTTTCCCCCACTGCCTACTTATTGCAGTCTACCCTTAAACATAGCTTATCAGAATCTATCTTACCCAATACAGATTGTATTAGTGAAGGGTTTGAACAGCATGCTCATCATGCTGATTCATCATTCCCATTACCTAGTCCTTGTAGCTCGCCAGACTCTTTCTCTCCTTATCCAAACAACAGTCCTCCATTCAATTCTATGTCCCCTTCTCTTTCCCCGTCCACTTCAGATTATTCCAGCCCTTTTACCTTTTCACCATCCTCTTCAAATTGGTCAGACTCATCTAACCTTTCTTCACAACCTTCACCTTCGGGGTTGGAATTATCTGATCATCTGTGTACTAGAAATTCAGCTTCGGGTGAAACAGATTGTCTATTTAAAGAAGGGGATACAAGATCATGTGTGGATGCATTTTCTGCTATAAATGGCTGGAAATCATCAAATTTCTGTTCGTCATGTAAAGGTACTTCTCCTTCAATTGCTGAACGCCGGGGCAGTAATCCACCTACACTGATGCTACTGGCAACGGCTGATTCAGCACCAGCTCATGTTTCCAGCACCTTGGTTAGATCATGGTCCTTTTCTCTTCCTAACTTGGGTGAGGAGATAAAATGTGAAAATCATTACGAGCCAAAACATGGTGAGGTCAGTGAAGTATGTACAGATGACCTGATGTTAGATGCAGGTAAATTTCCAATATTAATTACTGTTATTTAATGAAATTACGTGATTCGTTTATTTTTTTGTGGGTATGGCAATTTTGTAAGATGACAAAAGTTGAATGGTTGCATTATCACAGATTTCTTTAGTTTTCAAGCTTAAAACTAGAGGTAGATTAAAGTTTGTGGATAATTGGTGATATGATGTCAATGACTGCAACAATAGATTCTTGTTATACTTTGTCTTTAAAATATTAAGTATTGTTTATCTCATACAATAGTCAATTACCTATCGTCTTTAATATCTATAGAAAAGCTCTTGGGTGTGTTCTTCAAAGCATCAAGTTGTTTTAAATATAAGCCAATATTTTTTTTTTTTTTGGTAAATAATAGCCAAGTTGTTATCATTGTTAGAAATCTTATGTTTGAATCGTTCAATTGTCTTCATGATTGGATTTGGAGTGGTTAGAGAATTGCTATCTAGTTAAATGAGGGTGGTTGAGAAGGTTTAGTTGTATACTAATTAGGAAGTTTGTTGTGCTTTTACTATATACTTGGAGAACTTTTGTGAAATTGATGCATTACTTGTAAAAGTTCCGCTTGTTTAGTCTACTGTTTACATAAACCCACTGTTTTCTGTTTCGACACATTGATATTGGACACTTAACGTGTGTCATTCATTGTTGCAGATCAGTAGAGAAACCGGAGAAGAAAATATTCACAGAACGTCTAAACTTGAATTATAACCTGAAGCTCATGCTTCACCAACTATGGAATAATAGAAGTTTGGGCATCCCGGGCAGTGCCAAGACCTTACTCTCTCTGCTTGTGAGATGTTAGGGGAAATTTGAATTATATTTGCTCCTAATCATATCGGTCCTGGAGAACATATATATGTACATAAATATACCTCCATGTTGTACACTCTAATGACTAGCATATTAGAGCCATATGAAGTACAATAAGAGAACCCTTTTTGCTTTGGTAGAGAGATAAAATCACAGCATGTAGACATGTAGTTTCAATTGTAATACTAAATCATTACCTCTCAGTTCGAAATAGATTGTTATCATTTTCATGTTATTAAGTTTAAGCCATGTGCATCTATGGTCGGCCAACATAATCTTATAACCTCATAAGAAATTATTGATGATATTTAATTATTTATTGAATTAATAGTGTGTATCTTGGTTAATGCCTTTTGTTGTTAATTTATCACCCAATTTTATTATTTTTATTAAAAACGTTAGATTTAAAGGTTTTCTTGACGGAAAATGTTAAATGGCGGTGAAATTTACGTAATTTTTTTTTTTTTTTTTCTGTTTTTGATGGCATTTTAAAATATCAATTTATATGGGTGATTAATTCTTAATTTTATTTGAAGAAAAATTTCTAAAGAAATTGCTTTTGGATGGAAATCGGATTTTTGTTATTAAAAACATTAAATTTAACAATTTTCTTGACGGAGAGTGGTAAATGATGGTAAAATCTTTTTCTTTTTCTTTTTCTTTTTCTTTTTAGTGATATTTTAAAGAAAAAATTTATATGGATGTACTTATTAATTCAAAAAATGGGTTATTTTTGGAAGGTAAATTTAATATAATACTTAATGTTTTTTTCTTTTTTTGAAACCATCCTTAATTTTATTTGACGATAAATTGTATTAACGGTTACATATAAGCATTGAGGTGCTGAAAACTCACATTATTGCAATAGCTCAAGAATAGGGGAAATGCACATTTTATAGCAATGCCGAAGTTGGCAACATTACTTTGAATTTAGCTTCACATTATCACCTTCAAATAAGTATGCATCGAATAATTTTCTGGTCAAAAGTTAAACAAAACATGCATTATGATTTAAAAATATACTTCAATCAAACAGTGCAGGGCAGAAATTCATATATAATGTTGTGCCCAAGATCTATTAGCTGTACATATCATTGATTGATTGTAGATTACATTAAGGTGAACATAATAACCTCGAAAATTTGTAGCATGAAACCATAAAGTTAAAAAGGCCACAAGAGATAATTGCACTGAACAATAATAGACCAGTGCAAAGAGGCTATACATTTAAACACGCCAGAAAAATAACCACAATAATGTGACAAGTGATTAGAGGATCAAGGCTCACGCTTCGAGACTATGTACCAAAATATAATGGTCACCTTTTCATGGTTCATAAACCATTTTGTGCCCTTAACCTCGCCATAGTAGGGCCAAGAGCACTCCCTCTTAAAGTTCTGTATGACCATGACCGTTTAGCCGAAGGCTCTTTCTTGTTCCATCTATCCTCTTGAGAAAGCTGTGATTTCTTTGCTAACAAGGCATCACTTATCTCTTCCCACACATCTTTTTTCCCGTTTGCTGTCGGACAAAATCATGCAATCAATTACAATGACTTTGATACGGATTACTTGATTTTCATGATCCTAATAATCCACAAAATCAAAAACTAAACAATCCAAAAGTTTACAATACCAGGAGTAGCAGCAGGTTTCTGTAGTTCTTGATTGCTAGTATCTAATGCACCATTACTTCCATCTTTTTTGTTGCTCTCGCTCACTCCTGAGTAAAAAAAAAAAAAAGGTAAGATAAAATGGCATCAATTACAATGGTGGTTTTTATAAATAACTTTCACAAACCTAATAATCTAGAATACCATAAACCAAATAATCAAAAAGTGTAATCAATTAATCATACCAGAAGCACCAGGTGTACCAAGTTCTTGATTGCCAACATCTGATGCACCATTACTACTACCATCTATATTGTTGCCCTTGCTCCATCCTGAAGGGGCAGAGGTACCAATAGCAACTGCTGGGACTCCAGTGGCTTTTGATTGACTAGGGTCTCCACGCTTTAGAATACGTACATCAACAAGAGAAGGGAAATCTATCTGCAAAAGATTGAAAAAAAAAAAAAGTATATTCTGTTAGAAAGATAGAATCTAATTGCAAGATAAGGTATTCACATATACAATACACTAATGATACAGTGTGGCTACAGGCTAGTATGGAATATCAAGGATGAGACTAAAATAGTCTCAAGTCCAAGAATCAAACATCTAGCAGTAGCAACTTTAGTGAAATCTGTCATGGCAGAAAAATATTCAACTATAGACTAATAAAATGAACAAGGTGGAATAGAAATCAATTTTTTTTTTTTTCTTTTTTTCATCATGGTGGTTGGTGAATAAACCCTAGTGAAATCCTAGAAATCGTAACAGGTTCATGAATGAAAGAAAATGACATTCTAGAAACTCACTAGGCCAGAAAATAATGCAAATTAAGTTCATCCATTACACAAGATTTTTATTTTTAGGTTTTCTAGCCAGTTTGCAAGGGGAATTTGGTTAAGAGTAGACATTCTCCAGGATTAACATTTTCAATGACTCAATCACCCCTCAAAATACCACTAATTCACATCATCATTCAGAGAATTAAGACAATAGATAATAATAATATCTGCCAAGTTGTTGGATACTTGAACAAAATTTGCCTTTTGCTATGTGCTGGTCCAATCTGTAAATATAGTATAGAGTATGCTACAGGTTGGTAAGAGGCGGCAGCTCCTTTTACATCATAGATTCATAGCCAGCACCCAAAACTTAGCATCAAACTTAAATTTAGCAGTTGAAAAACATGGAAAATACCATAATAATTGGTCCAATTTGTCTTCTAGTTGCCCCTCTCTCCATAAATTCCCCTTTAATTTTGATAATTTATTACATAGTACATTATTTCAACATGTCTAGTTTGGGAGCTAGACAAAACTTGTTTACACTACAAATTCTTCAAACCACCAAAGCCTTTTTACTAAATGAAATAGCCAAACAACCAGAGTCAATAACCCAAAATCAAATCAAAACAGACATATTCTCTCTATCAGTCTATCTCATAATATTAGGCACCCCCATGCCTTTTGAGTTTGTATATTTAATATATGTTACGAGTCTTATTTAAACTATTCCATTGTCTAAAAAGGTGCTTTACTATGGTATTTTCCTACTCCCTCCAATTCTTTTGGTTCTTCCCATTTGGAATTTTGGTACATTATTTATAAGATGAGGGAATCTTCCTAATTTTTCTTAAAATACAAAACATAACATAGTCATGTTGGGTCTTATTTGATTTGTCTCAATGAGTAGTTTATTAATATTAAACAGTTATATTTTTTTTATCAACAAGGAACTGAAGAAATTTATGGTCAAAAATAGCAAATGTGCACAATCAAAAGGGAAGAACATTTAGGATTGGAGGGAGTAAGTTTTAAAGTGTGTTTTTTTTTTTTTTTAATTATTTTTTTATTATTATTTTACCATGAAAAACTAAAGGTCTAAGTTCAATCTCAAAAAGCATGGGGACCTTATATTATGAAATTGAGGTAAAAATCTTATTTTAAAATACTAGCATTGACTTTCACAAAAAAATTAAATAGTGACTTAAACAAAAGTTTGAAGACTGTCGAAAATCCACTAGGAACATTTAGACAGGATGGACAGAAAATCATAAACAAACTTCACATAAGTCTTGGACCATCTCATGTGCTCAAGCAAGATCCTCAAGTGATGCCAATCCCAGCCACAAAGTGCACACAACAAGAAAGCCAACTGAGGTGAGGGGGGTGAGGGGATGGCACAGCTTTGATACCAAGTTACTATGCATATGACATTCCAGCAAAGGAAACACTGATCTGAAACTTTGGAGGAAATAAAAATAACTTATATTTTACAGCATTTCATACCTCCAAGGATCCATCTTCATTATAGAGGGAAGGTTGTGGAGGTTGTCCAGAGTCATCGTCATCGTCGTGATCACCTTCTTCCTTTTTAAGATTAAGTGGGTATTCTGGTTCTGGAACCATTATGATTTTATTTGACTCTTTATCAAAACATGTAATTCTTCCTACCTAAAAAAGGGAATGATACATCAGAAATCGATTGCACTCATCAGAAAAATGGCATGAACAAGTACTAGGGAATTGCTAGAAAATACATGGATTCCTACCCGAAAAGATGTCAGCTCAGGGCACCAAGTTGATGACAGCTCCAATAAACGATATGCAAGGACGTCGCCGACCTGCCATGTGAAAGAAATACACGTTATACAACTCAAAAAAAGAAAGACAGAACAAGTATATAATGAAAGCAATACAACTCAGAAAACAAAAGACAGAACATGTATTGCTTAATCCCATATCAATTTAACTATCACTCTTGTTCTACAGGTCAGTTTCATAGTAATGTTAAAAATTAATGTTCTCAATGTACAAATAAACAGAAGCAGAGAAGCAAACAACAAATTAACAGGTCTACAAACAAGAAATATTAGAGCCAGTTTTGTTTCCAATAAGGCAAAATATTGCAATACAGTAGACATTACCCTCATGCAATTTTTCAGACTTATGAATGTCATGATCATTACCTCTCCCATATTATATTTGAAGTTAAAATGAACAATATACAACATTAATTTGTAATCCAGATTTATATTGGATGATAAGCTGGCAACGGGTAGAAAATTATAACCCTTCTACAATTTCTGTCCATGTTCATAGTTGTGGAAGGAAATTTATGTTATAAGTTTGATATATGGATGCAGGAGTACTGTGTTTTCTTGGTGAAGGAAGAAACTTCAGAATTGGCAGCCTGTATAGTGATATCCAAAGATAATAGATAATATGAAAAAAAAAAAAAAAATAATAATAATAAATATAATAATAATAATAATAATAATAATAATAATAATAATAATAATAATAATAATAATAATAATAATAATAATAATAATAATAATAATAATAATAATAATAATAATAATAATAATAATAATAATAATAATAATAATAATAATAATAAACAAACAAACAAACCTCAGGCAAGTCAGTTAGAGGAACGAGCTTCTCAAAAATCATAGACGAATCGTTGGCCCGCTGTTTTCTAGAAGTCCATGTGTTACGATCTCTTGGTTCCTTCCAGGAGTAGGTTCGCTGGTTTCTGTTAGCTCTTGAACTAGAAGAATAGCCATTATAATCTCTGTATTCCTTACAGGAGTTTGGCTGGTTCTCTGTGCCCCATTTCTGACCTTCCCTTTTGTTTGTGATTCCGTTCCAGGAATATGGTTCCTGCATTTGACGCTATGTTGTGAAATACAATCTTGTCAAAGAGAAAGGGGGTAACAATTCATAAACACCTTTTCATATTATCAGAATATTACACCAAAAGCAATAGTGGGAAGCACAGAAGCTGTGATGCGATATAAATCATATAACCTCTGCAAGAAACTAATTGTTTTAACTTATAATTTATCATAATAAAAAACATACAAGTTAATAATGTATGATAAAAGCAGCTGAACTGAAAGAGAAGAGGAGAAAGGGGGTAAAATACAATGTCCTGAGACCTGTTGGCCTGTTAACAACTTAATTGTGGCTGTATTCATGAAAACAGATCACTTATATCTTCTTTTAAAATAGCTCAAGAAAGATGACTACACTGGGTATTTTTTTTAATGCAAGTGATTCCAACTTCCTCTTTCTCTAATCCTGCAAGTGTTCAACATGAGGCAGACTGTTTGCCCCAGACATAATTATTTTTGCAAATTGCAAAGATGCATAAGAACTAAATGTTGTAGAAACTAGAAAACCATAAACTTGTACAGCTTCTATATACCAACCAATAACCAACATATAGCAGAAAATATTCAATTGGACCTGCCTAAAATTCAAAAAAAAAACTCCATTTTCATCAGGATAATGTCATTAACTAAATGCCTGTAATTAAATGTACCTGTCCCATAGCTATGGTATCACTCAAATAACAATGAAGTCCACAAAGTTGTAACTAAACTAGCTACTATAATGACATGAAGCATCATCAGCTATATTTCGGCTGTAGAGGATGTCGATTATGGTCCAACCAACATCTAACAAGAACATAACAAGAAAGCAATCATGCACCTAAACCCTCAAATATGCCAGATATATGAGTAGCAAAATAAACAACCCATTTGAGCTGTGAGTCAGTCTCATTGAAACAGACATCTACATGCCACATGCATAAATTGAAACAAACCAAGCATAGCTGTGTTAGCCACATGCCACAAGGCCGACAAATAAAAACTGAAATGCCATCTACAGCATTCTTTCTACATTCAGGACAATCGATGCTATGATCAGTTAAATACTATATCTGCATCAGTACAAGAAACCAAATGACAATGCATAAATTTGATTGTTTATTTGATAATCTCATGTGCTTGACCCTTTCTTCAAGCAGCATTGGCTTTGTTTGGTTCAATATTAGTAAAGGAAAGAAAGGGAAAGGAAGGGAAGGGGAAAAAAAAAAGGAAAAGAAGGGAAAGGAAAGAAAATATATCATCCAATGTTTGGTTTGATATTAGTAAAGGAAGGGAAAGGAGAGGAATCTATTGTTTAGTATGATATTAGTAAAGGAAGGAAAGGGAAGAGAAAACTAATTTTAAGCCTGATATATTTAACTTGTTTCTTTCCTCCCAAATTCCATTTTCGGAGGAAAGGAAAGGGAAGATTTTGTGAAGGGAGCTTTCCTTCCATTTCCCTTCATTTCCAATCAAATTCCATTTAATTTTTAGAACCAAACAAAGGAATCCATATTTTTCCGTTCTTTTCTTTTCTTTTCCTCCCAATTCCTCCCAACCAAAAAGGGCCCAAGTGAAAACTGATCACCTTCCAAATAAAATAAAAAAAAGCACAACGTCAGCAAACAAGTATTACTTCTGATCCAACAGTACCCCCTGCCCTCCCCTTGAACCTCTTTAGTCCCTGGATATATACTCCCACTTGGTTATAATTGTTTTTCGGCTAATAAGCCTTACTTCTGGAAATAAAAGGAAAAGGAAAGGCAGTCTTCAGAATGTTGCTTTAAGGCATGATCCAGGTGACTGTAATAGACTTGCAAGTAGAAAATTATCAGCTCACAACTGGCAACACTTTCTAAAGACAACGCAGATAATCATGGATGGCTCTTCCCTTAGTTGTGCGCCCCCCTCCCCCTTTCTTTCTCTCTCTCTTAACTTAATTGCAAAAAAAAAAAATCCTAGTACAGAGGCTGGATTGGTACCCTCTTTGCTGCGTTTTCTTTGTATCACCTAAAAACATAGGTATACAGCACTGAAATTGGAAAAGGGGAGGAGGGATCAACAGCAAATATATGCACCTTTAATGTCAAGCACAAAGTGGTAATCAGCATAAGGCTTGACTCTTCTTTCTAAGCACCCCTTTTTTAAGTTATTAGACCTTATCTGAACTCAATTGAACTTCTAGACCCAATCTAAACTTGTCTTTTGTTGTAAATTGAATTTGGTAGCCCTTACCTGAGCTTAGTCTTCCTAAAACTATAATTATTAGGTGAAACAAACAAGGCCTATGTATGTTGGTTCAGCAGATGATGAAAATCCTTGGTCAATTTGGCAAATCACCATGATAAGGCAGAGTAAAATTTGGTATTGAAATATAATGCTAAGGTTTATCCACTCATTTGGTGCTCACCACCACCCGGCTGATAATGTATCACTTAGAAAATCAAGCCCTCAAAATTTTCCATTTGCAGACAACACTCACAAAATTTCCATTTGCACGCACACACACACACGCGCGAGTAACTATCACTTCCAAAACAAATAGATGATCTGGAATAAATACATGCAACGAAACGAGATTGGAAATCAGGTAAATAAGAATCAGACAGTTGCACACCATACCTTCGCTACTTTATTGTTTACATCACAAACATTCTTCTGGGCAGTGTCATCTTCCCAAGCACTTTTTTGGACTGATGGAACATTCCCCCCACTTGCTTCATGAAATTTTTGAATATCAGTTGCTGCAACCAAAGGATACTTTTGTAAGCCAGAAATTATCACCATTAATGAAATGCAGAAAAGGCATACATTACCATAATACCAAGTAAGACATCAACAAACATTAACCAAAACTGCTCACAAATCAAAAAGCTCCAGCCTATATGTGGCCATGTGGGTATAGGTTAGGGGTACAAGATTGGTGTATAAAAAGGTGTCTCTGAGTGTTGAGGCGCAAGGTGACATCGCCTTGCGCCTTTTCGGTCTGGGCAAGGCGATTTCAGTGAGGTGCACAACTTCTTTATTCAGATATATTTCAACTTTTATTAAGTCCACCACACTTCAATGGATCTACAGCGCAAGGAAAACCTTATCATCTTGGTGCACCTTGAGCCTTTTTATATATTGCACATAATTTAACCCTATGATAGATTCAAAAATAAATTAAAAAAACACATATGAGTACAGAAGTTCTAGCCCTTCTAGAATGGGCAAAAGCTGAACAACACGGCAATATGACACAAAATAGACACAGGAAACGGGTTGGTGTCAAGGATTTACAACCCCTTTCAATAAAGGAGTCAACACAACAAGACACGTTTAATTAAACAAGAAAGGTTCAGGTTAGGGTAGAGATTCCCAACACGTAACCAACACGACTCAACCCACCAAAAAAAATAACAAATTAGTTTTTGGAATTGATGATAAATCTTTTGAAAGAGGCTAACTATTTATAATATAACTCCATCGTACAACACGAACCGGACATTGAAAAAGCAGACAAGTGTCGAGTGTTTCCGACACGTTTAAACGATACAACACGACACGTTTAATAAAACGGGTTGGGTTAGTGTTGAGGTTCCCCAACATCTTCGACCACGGGCGCGAAACAACACATTTTCATTGAATCGTGAATGGCAAATATATTGAAAACAGATTGATATATCCATTATACATGAAAGGGAATAAAGACAAACTAATTTCAAAGCACCCCACCATCCCTCCCCCCTCAAATGGGAGAGTTGGTACCGTACAGATTTTGCACCTCAAATTAAAGATCCATACTTGAATCACCACCACCACTATACAGGTTGTATCCACAAATTTCAAATTAAGAAACACAAAGTTATTATTTAATAGATTGAACCATTCGGGAAGGTTTCCATCACGCGTAAATCCATTTTCTTTAGTCGGTCAACCCATTTTCTCAAAGACGGTAAATCCTGAAGACCCTATCAGAAGGGCCACTTAACATAGAGATGAGATACGGAGGAAAAAATTGTAACTAATATTTTAGGTCACTATATGTCTACATCCTTCCCCCCATATGATAAAAGAATTATAAAGATTCTTTTCCAGACCATCTTTTACAGAAATGTACTAGAGATTTTGTCATTTATATAGGACTTTATCCCAGATGATACAGACAACAATGGAAAGGCCAACTTCTCAAGTAATTTTTTCCCCTTTCCTTCCAAATTAATATACAAGACATAGCAAAATTAATGTGGGAGCACTAATGCATGGGATTTTTTTAGGAGAAATTAATGCCTTACCAATAGGCCAAGTATGTACGGGTAATTATTGTTTTGGCCCACAATCATTATATTCTCGTTTGTGAGTCAATGAGCATAAGAACAAAATAAAATGTTGTTTAATAAGGTGGATTTATGAATAAGCGCTACAGCCAATATATATGAACATTGAAATCTCAAGGTATAAGGCCTTCCACATAGCACAGAAATCAAAGGAATTATCAACAAAAAATTACATCTTCAACAGTATAGAGGTCCAAAATAATAGAACACCTAAAGGTTGAGATTTGAAATCTGAAAAACAGTTTTCAACTGAGTTTCCAGGAGAGCTTTTCAAAACTGAGAAGCATGAATTCATGATATTTCATATTAATGAAGGCAACTTGCAATACATCATTGGGATCTAAACTTGCACATTGTCTACAACAAATTTAGCAATACCTTTTATTAGGTAGGTATAATATTTTTATAGTCTCATAATTTCAATCCTGTATCCTAACATATATAATCAGAAACGAAATTTTTATAGGAGCACCCTACTTCATAACATATAATGTATACAGCTGACTCAAATAGAGGATCATCTACAATACTGAGTGATTTGCAAAGTTCCCCTAAAGATGAAGTGAGTATTGCGGCACTGTTGTTTAGACAACTATGATATAAATTCAGAACTGTATTGTCAAGTAAATGAAGTTTGGAAGACGAATTTGGCTGAGATGTGAATGTCGAGGCAGACGGGTGGTAAATCTAGAGAAGATAAAATCCACAATGATAATATTAGCAGTAGTGTAGAGTGGCAGGTGGCAGCTGTGAAGGATAAGATGAAGACAAAAAAACCTTGCTGGTTCAGACACATTATTAACATCAAGATGAAGAGAATGGAATGATAACGATATAGAAACAAGTCTTAGAAGGCCAAGGAGGACTGAGAATGAATGGCTAAGGACAGAAAAAGCTAGGTCCCCAAGTTCGTGTTGCATTGGATGGATTGAGTTGGGGAGAATAATCCACTTAATTTATCCAGGATATATCTTAATTCTTGTAGCATGCACCATGCTTTAATGATTGTGGGCATGGCAATCAAATTCTTGTTGTCGAAAAGAAATTTTTTCTATAAAGCAAAGATAATGGTAGCCGGACCTTTCCCAGTAGGAGTGAAGCGTATGTGTCCGGGCCGAATCTCTACAGGGACAAGATCACCATCTGCGTCACTATCTTCCTCAGCTAGCTGTTCAATGTTTGTACTTGCATCTTTTTTAGATCCTGAATCTTTATTCAAATCTTTCGCCGGCAATTGCTTCTCACCCTGGTGCCACAATACAGAAGTAAAGGGAGACTTTTACAATACATGCAGGAAATATATGATAATTCCAGTCACAGTTTAATTAATGAAATTAATAAATAGAAATAGAAAATAAGAGCGGCATATAGGGAATTATGTAATACAGCTATACTCCAATTTCCTTAGCCCTTACATCCGTTTCTATTTGTTTTCCTTGCTCGGAATCTTCCCTTTTGTCTCTGTCTCTCCTATTAATTAAATGCATAATATATCTTCTTAAATAAAAAAAAAAAAAAAAAAATGCAAAGTATATCTCTCTACTCCCATAAAAAATAACAAAAATATATCTCAACCCTCCCAAAAAAAATTGCAAAACATTTCCCTCTGCACCTGCCAAAGAAAGAAAGGGAAAGAGAGTACATAGAAGCAATCCTAGGTATTACCCCACAAGGCCACAATATCTCTAAGGGGTAAAAAAAAAGGTAGCAGTATTATTACTAGAACATTTTTTGAAAACCCATTCACCATATATACTACCCCATCTTTTTTTTTTTTTTTTTTTCTACTCACTATCTGCTTTGGTACCTTTATTTAGTTTTACTCAATTCTACGTTATTTCATTTTTAATCATTTCTACTATATACCGTTATTGCCTTAAAATATTGCACCTTTTCACTCTCTCTAAATCGCTTACTTTATCTGCCTTTTTTTTTTTTTAACACCAACCAATTTTCTACATCTCTCTTTATCCACCTTGTTCTTACACCTAAATTTTCTAGATTATGTCTCTAAAGTAACAAAGGCAGTATATTTTATTAGATCCTTCCTTGTTAATTAAAGTAGGCTTTTTAATGACATAATCCTACTATAATTTGATTAAAATCATCAACAACTAAATTCATCAAGATATAAAGTGATACCTTAATTAGTTTTTTTTTTTTTTTTTTTTTTTGGTTGTTGTTGTTGTAGTTTTCACTTCTAGTTCATCTCATTTGTGGCAAACTAACTTCACTATCTTACCCCACATTATCAACACCTTTCCACTCTCCCCCTCTTACTTTTTCTACTTTTTTCTTACACCCCTCAATTATTTACTCAATCTTACTATCTCCATCTTTTACTTACACAGTTACACTCACCCACCTTTCACAATACTACATATCTGCAGCACATAACAGAACAAAAAAAAAGGGGTTAAAAAAAGTTACTCTTGATATATAACTTGTATTTTCATATTTTATAGTCATCATACCATTGAAACAATCTCAAAATATGCTTTATAAGATCCATGTGCCACATACTAATACCAAATCGAGAAAGGCTAGTATAATTTGTATTTTCATATATTTTTATAGTTTTCTTATTTTTCATTTTTTAGCTACGTGCATCACTAGGGTTTAAAGGCTATAGTATATGTAAACCTAGGCAATAAGGAATCTACTTCCCACTCCCAGCAGTAGAGCTCACAGGTAGATCTATCCCAATTGATTTCATACCTCATCGACTTTAGCTTTGTCAGGGTGTACTTTTTTCCACTGCCTCTGCAACCTCTTACGCCGAGTGCCTCTGGATACCTGAAAAGAAGGGGACAAAAGTCTTATTCCAAGAACGCAAAATTATATAACTAAAAACTGTTGCATAACATCCATGTGAAAATTGATCTTCATGATAAGACAGACCACAACAATAACAAATAATTATAACAAAAAAGGATAGGGTACCTGATATACAAACCCTCAGCAGCCAACAAGAGACCAGTAGCAATCATGGGACGGCAACAAGTGGAATAGAATATTGAATATATACCATACAGAAGCATAAACATGTTATCAATTGATCCACATCAAGGTTGAATCAGAATCCTAACTAGGATCTTTAAGGGGGTGGGATCGAATCGATAGAATCGGATCGTAGGATCGTTACAAGCAAAAAATGTATACATTATGCTACATTTTGACTTAAATTTAAGTATTTCAACTAATTTTAATACTAAAATCAATTACTTTGCTCCATTAAGTTCGATATTTATTTAACTGCAATAATTAAATGATACATAATGTTCACCACTGTCAAGATGACTTTATAACTATGATTAATGTCCAAGTAATCAATTGACAAAATTATGTAAATTTCTTTGCTGAATTGTGTTTATTTAGTAACTATGATTGAATACTTAACAAATGTGCTTATAAAATGCAGAATACTGTATTTATGAAAAAAAAAATGTGTAAGAATAAAACAATTTCTCAAATTATCTTTAAATGTAGGATCAAAAAATCGTAGGATCATAGTAAGATCCTACCCGGCTACCCCTCATTATTTTAATTCAAGTAAGATCTTAAGATCCTACCTACAATCCGGATCGATCTCACAATTTTGGATCTTAGAATTGTAGGATTGAATCGGGATTTTATAAACCATGATCCATACTAACCTTTCCTATTATCAGATACACAGTACAACCACTGCAAACCAAAAAAATAATGTCTTCCAATATTTTTAAGGGACACAATCATGGGGACATAATACAAAAACAGGCAACTAACAATGTCCAAAGAATTTGCACGCATGGAAAAAATAGACTAGGTTATTAAATCTTCATCCAAGACGAACTTGAAAATCGCAAACATCAAGGAATCAAACAGCATACAAGAAAGCCTACACTGAGTGAAAATCAATTCCAGTCCAAAGCCTCAAAACTTCACACAAACACATTGCATATCAAAACCCAATCTCGTAAAGAAATCCTAGACAAGTAGATATGATTAAGAAGGAGATTTGATTTCCTTACAGAAAATTTGAACCTTAGTTTAAAGAATACTAAGGGATTTTTATGAGTTATTCATTAGTTACCAAAGGATAATAGACAAGCGTTCAAGCATATTTATTCCGTTCTAGGCTACCTTTTTAGCTCCATTAGGCACACCAGACGCTTGTACAGTCTCTTCTTTTTTCTCTTCATGTACACTGCACCAATAAAACCAAGATGTCCATTAAAAAATGCTACAATAGCAAAAGCAAAATTTTAAACGATTGAATAATAATACGGAAACATAGTATACCAAGGTAAAACTAAAAGTTAGCTATTATGTAAACATTATACAATACAACGGAAGATCCTCATTCACTACACCAAACTGCATGGGTTGGGGGTGGGGGAGGGGGTTGGGGGGCAAAATGAGACAATTCTTAGAGAAATATACAATAGGTGATATACACTCCTCTGAATGGCTGTTGCTCCAAATAGAAGTCAAAAGAATGAAAGCTAACCAGACTGCTTAAACAGGTGCTATCAATGATATTTAGCATATTCACTACACACAATTCATTTAAAGATGGGTTTTACTACCTTTAGCAGAATAAATAAAAAAATTATTCTTAAGCTCAACAGAGCAAGCCAATCAGTTTCAAAACTAAGAAAGAAAACCCAAGGATATCTACAGCAGAGCGATTCATAACAAAAGTTGAATCAGTCCCATAAATTAGTATAAGTAGCTTATTCCTAGGAAATGATATCCTTTCCACCCAACTACAAATCCAGCACGACCCTCATGATACTTCTGACAACAACCTATGGAAGAAGCAAACTAAAAGATGCAAGATCAAAAACGTACTTAGACTTAGATATTGGATCAGAATTTTTGGCGCAATTAATAGTTCCATCAGACTTGGATATTTGATCCGAATTTTTGGCGCAATTCACAGTTCCATCAGACTTAGATATTGGATCTGAATTTTTGGCACAATCTACAGTTCCATCATGCTTACTCCCATTAGCAAGTTTTCTTTTCTTCTGTAATGTTTTGGTAAGCTGATCAACAACCTTCTTCTCAACACGTTTGGGGGTTACCTGGCGCTGTCTTTTTTTCCTGTAAGGCAACAGCACAGAAGTATTTCATGAATCATAATTGAATTTACTATAAGACAATCAATAGTAAAAGAGAAAGAAATATAAAAGGTGGGGGAAGAAAAAGTGAAGAGATGTGCATCAATACTGAAAAATTTAAAGCACATCACTCAAAGTTAAGCAGTAGACCAGCATGTATACCAGGACCAGGCAAGAAACACCCGTACGTAATTACCAAGTTAAATTCAGTGGAAAACAGTATATCCAAAATGGCATTCTTTTTTTAAAGAAAGTTTACCTTGTCTCCAACAAACTAACGAATCTATATAACAAGACAGCAATTTCCACAAAAGGCTTACAAGATCATATATATGAGTCCATGTTACTACATAAGTATAAACATTGATTTTAAAGGTGACATTACGGGTCTTAAATGCATATCAAATTATGCTTGAAAAATCAAGAACGAATTAAATATTGTGAATTTATTAGTTTAACTCCATTTTTGGACAGATAATTAGCACATAAACGGATAGTTATATACAAGTGATATTAAAATGCACTTCCAAGTATAAACCTATTTCTTATCTTAGGCTACTTTTTATCAACCACCAATTTACCTTTATCAATATCCCAGTGTCCCCCTTTACAAGAATTAATGCCAATCACAGAAGTTCATATGACAAAAAATCCAAAAGAACCAGCAGGTCATGATATTAGGTACCAGTATCCACTTCAGGTAGGAGAATCAAATCTGTACAGCACTGACTCCCAACAGACTGACATGGTTTGTAAAGGAGAGGAATAGAGGGATGACATCATAGAATTGAAAGAAAAAGTTGCAAGATAGAAAGATAATATTGTATAGAAACAAAAGAATTACAAGGCCATACTTAGAGTTCTCAATACTACTGGATGCTTTTCTCTTTTTGGAAGCTACATCTCCACCTCGAGCAATTTGCACAGGCTCCTCTGCTTCATCTTCATCCTTATCAATTTCGCTTAGGTAGCCTCCAGTCTCTTTATCGAATTCCTCGTTTGCCAAAAGCCTGACAGCAGAAGGTAATGGTTGCCTCAATACTATTTCATCTTCAATGAAAGGCCTGGCCTCTTCAATTGCCTTCATCGTGCCAGAAATGCCCAACCCTAGCCTTTTCACACTGATTCAGGAACAATCATTTACATGTTTCAGATGCAACAGTTACATCAAGAAGAGGGAAAAGAAGTAGCCTCAATCTACACTCTCATGCTAACATGAAAAGACACAAGGCAACAGAAGTATTGTGAAACAAACCTTATTACATCTTTATCCTTCAAAATGGTAGTTGACTCAAATGGTGGAAGAGCAAAGCCATCCATCTACAAGCAATTGAAATCTGATCAGTGCAATATCCCAGGTAAAACATAACAGACATGTGCACATTGACACTCATAAGACAAAAACAGAGCTGTAGTTCATAAGACCGTAACAACTTTACAAATTATTAACTCCCACAGTTAACATAATTGGAAAATCATCACATGCAATGGCAGGGCCATACAACATCCATGAATTATTTAAGTTAGCAGAAATTTTTTGGGCTCTTTTTTTTTATCCATTTCATTTTATATGTCAAAATAAACATGATCAAGAGAGTTTAATCTGAATATTTTAGAAAAGGAAGAAGTATAAGAAAAATTCCAAAGAGAAAAATATAAACTTTCAAAAGAGAAATCAGAAAATCTATAAGAAACATTCCAAAGAGAAAGAATTATAAACTTTCAAAAGAGAAATCAGAAAATCTTAGGCAGATACGACAAAAAAATGAAAGCTGAAAAGGAAAGGTCAGCCCTGAAATTAACAACAGAAGGCATGTGCCCAATCGTGACTGTAATCCATGCCACCAAGAAAGTTAGAAAGGTAAACCCTATAGCTTTGCCTTTCACGAAATGCATTTGAAACATAATATGTACTCTGACAACATCATACCATATTATCCCATCTAAATTATTATGCGGGCACAATACACCAAGCAAGCAGCCTCCCCCCCCCCCCTCCAACTCCACTCCCCCTCAAAAATTCAGCTTACTTGAAATTAACGACCATTGGCAACAACGCCAAAGAGCCTAACCCTTCTAATCACTTATTTTCTCCAATTTTACCTGTTGATGATTGATTATAGATAAATAGTAAAACTATCTTTCCATATCAGACGTGCACTTTAACTATCACTATTAACTACCTTCATTTTACAATGAGGAAAGTAGCACAAAACATAACTGAAAGGAAAAAAACCACATCTTTAATACCTTTGTACCATATCCAATAATTTGACAAGTATTTATCCGAAATCATTAGAAATAATAATAACCACCACCCAACAAAAAAGATAGTCATATAAGTATCATATGGTAACATATCATTCATGTTACACACGCAACTCCGTAGGTTTAAAAGGAAACATCACATCACATCTGATCTTCAATTTCTCATAACTTTAGTGCACCCCGCATCCAAGTCTTGTAATGTTAGAATGGAGCTCATTTATAAACAAATCACTAGCTTAGCAAAACGACATTAATGCTACCCAGTACCCACGGAGCTTCTATTTCCCAATGGTCATCAAAATTTAAGCTAAGTTCAAAGAATCACCTTCATTAAGGTCAAAACATGAAGTCACATTTCACTTTTGTATAATTTCAACTTCAATTGTTAAATGGTAAATGTGCATATTGATTTACAATACGATATTACTGAATTTGCCTTTACAAGGCTTACATAAAGTTGTCTTTATATCATTTTCAGCATAAAACAAAAGTATAATGCAAAAAAATTTCGGTCAATATAATAAATAAATAAATAATTGCCTAAACAAAGGAAATTTGATTATACAATGGTATAGTATTAATTCACGAATACAATTTACAATGGTACAAAAATTGAGAAAAAAAAATTCTTTTCGATTCTCAGTTCAGCTAAAATGTGAAATACGAAGTAGTTGACAATTAGCAAGAAGGGGAAAGTTGAAAAATCAAACCACATTGATTAAATTATATGATAAAAGAACGAAAGTCATGAACTTTAAGAAATTAATCAAATACCCAACTCAAAATTAACATAAAGAATTGGAGAAAACCCACAAAAACATCAAAAATTAAGGGAAAAAAAAGACATGCAAGAGGAGAGAGAAAGTATACATAGAGAACTATGCCATTAGGGCAGGAATGATGGAGGTCAAAGGAGTGAAGAAGATATGCAATGACGTCGGAAATGGTCTGAAATTGGGGTTTGAGAAGAACCCATGAATGCTTGAGACCAGATTTTTTCTGGGTTTTGGTTAGAATTCCACGATCCTGGAAATTTACTCGCAATCTTCGTTGCTGTTGCGTCGCCTCCATTACTCTCGAGTAGGAGAGAGAAAGGAAGGCGAGATTGTTTCAGTGTTTGGGATTTTTTTTTTTTTTTTTTTTTGTGGTTTTTTGCCAGAAAGTTGAGAGTGAAAAGCCAAAAGTTAGGAATTGAAGTGTTTTCCCAGGGTTTTCAAAGAGTGTTCTTAAACCCTCTTGAGGAAACGGCTATGTTTCATTCACCTTATTTTTATTTGTTTTTTTACTTTTTTTTAAGGAAAACAGATAAAATATGCATTTTTGGATAGCATTCGGAGCGCCACGTAAGAAATATACTTATTTCAACCAATAAGAAGAAAGATTTGTATTTTATTTTTGAATTACAAAATTATGTCGTCATAAAAGTAACAAATTAGATTTGATATATCTAAAATATTAGTGCCAAGTAGATTAAAAACTAAGAATAAAATTATTTTATAAATTAATGGTAAAAAAATGTAGGAAAAGAGAAATTTATTAAATCATTACTACAAGTAAAACAAATCCAAAAAAAAAAAAATTAAATGATAAACGAATACAATAAAGTTTGATACCTATCATTATAAGATAAATTTTAATAGTGTTTATGATAATAAAGTAAAATTTATTCCTTAATTATAATGAAATTAAAATTTGTGATACGTACCATTTTAAATTGACGCATCATATGACACCAACAAAACTTCGTGTCAAAATACAAAACCAAATGTTAGCTTAATTTTGTGTTAGTAATTTGTGTCAGTTTTAGGTCATCAATGGTTGAGTAATTCTTAGCTTAATTTTTAAAATCCATGTTTAAATTTATATTTGTAACTATTGCTTACATTGTGTTTATTTGGGATAATTAACGATTATATATTTATGTTTTGTTTACTGAATATTGTTTATGCAGATCTAATTTAATTAGAGTATTAAATTCGAGCAAAAATGATTGAAAAATCAAAATACGAGTTTCTCGCTCGCCTGTTTGACGTACTTACCTTTCGCAAACAAGATAGCTTAATAAGTTTGGATATGGTCCTATTAAACGATGACGTATTATATCTTTATAAATTGTTTACATTTATTAAATTTACCTTTTTAGTTTTTATTAATTAATTTTATGATTAAAACAAAATTTTTGTGATTGAGGTAGCTTATCAAGTCATTCAATTAACTTAATAATAAAAAAAAATAGTTTGAATGCATTATCATTTTGTAGATACAATCAGCTCAAATATGTAAAATTGTTACAATTTCATGCTTGAAAGACAATTTATACTTCGTTTGAGCTTATATAAGTAATAAGTTTATCAAAAACTGTGTTTTTGTCACTTCCTTGCATCCTACCCTACTCTTGTATTGAGTATATATGATATGATTTTCTTTTTGAATATTCGATATAAAATCGATCTTATTTCAATTGTTGATTATTTTTCCTTTTAGGTGTTCCATAATGGAATCAATCTTATCTCATTTGTCGATAGGGCTTGCTTCCTTTGAGATCCATAAGCTGATCTTAAAGATAGGAGGACCTAATTCGCTAGGTCCAAAATTTATTGAACGAAAAGTTTACTCCTTAAAAAAACTTTCAATGCATAGATTTGATTTTGTAATAATTACAATTGTTAGATCAATTTCGCAACAATTTTTCACTTCTGGGTAAATATATTGATTTATTTTATAAAATTGTAAAGATTAAGTTTATATCAATTTTATATTTGCTAACATTTCTGTGTTCAATTTATCCACTTTTATTATATGGAGTAGATATGGTTGTGAATGAAATTGGTGATTCAATCGAAATAGAAGATAAATAATGGAATACATGTTTTTATTATTTTTTAATAATGATTCTTATCTATATTATGTGTATCTAATATTTTTTGTTATTTTTTTTAATGTTCTTATCAAAATATTTATTATGGGGAATAAATTACATAAATTAATAAAAAAAATTATCCTTAACAAACAATAGCGAATTAATCAAAATGTTATGAGTATGATCTAATTTCAAAAATTATTTTTTTGTGTGATTTCAATATTTTATGTATAAAAAATCGTGCATAAACGCTTATAAAGTAAAAATATAGGAAAAGATAAATTTATTAATTCAATACTACGAGTATAAGAAATCCAAAAAAAATATACTAAAAAATATTTAAATGATAAACGCTTATAATAAAGTTTGATACCTATCATTATAAGATAAATTTTGATAGTATTTATCATAAAAAATACAAATTGTTCGTTAATTATAATTAAATTAAAATTTTTGATACCTGCCATTATAAATTGACACATCATACGACACAAACAAAATTTTGTATCAATAAAAAACCCCATCAAACGAATTTTGTGTTAATTTTTGGTCATCAATGGCCGGGTAATTTTTAGCTTAATTTTTAAAATCCTATGTTTAAATTAGTATTTTTAATTATTACTTACATTGTATTAATTTGGGATACTCAACGATTATATGTTTATGTTTTATTTACTAAATGTTTTTACATCCAGATCTAACACATCATACGACACAAATAAAATTTCGTATCAGTACAAAACCCCATCAAGCGAATTTTGTGTTAGTAATTTTGTGTTAGTTTTAGGTCATTAATGTTCGGGGTAATTCTTAAAATCTTATATTTAAATTTTATTTGTTACATTGTATTTATTTAGGATAATTAACAATTATTTGTTTATGTAATGACATATGATTAGATGTTGTATACTTAATATATGGATGGCTTTGGTTATTTTTGGAGATGATGAAAAAATTCCAATGCATAGATTTGATTTTTTATCGCAACAATTTTTCATTTATTGGTAAATATATTGATTTATTTTATATAAATGTAAAGATTTAATTTATATCAATTTCAGTTTGACTAATGATTAGGGGATTTTGCTCCTACCAATCGGAGTGCGCCACGTGGACCAATCAGGTCCTGCCAAGTGTCTCCTAGTTGGAACTGTCAGGGCTTGCCACGTGGCACGCGCTTATTCGTCCACCTTGGACCTGTTATGTCACGACATGTGGCATACTCCATGCCTAATGGAGAACCCGGCCACCCAGGCCCAACTTCCGAGGGAAGCCCAATCAGCCCTAGGTTTACCTAAATCTAGGATGGACACGTTTCCCAAGGTTATAAATACCTCCCTTAATCCTCATTAAGGGGACACGCGAAAAACATTACGGAACACATTAATAACCGGCTGATCTCGCTAACAAAGCAGATTACCTACATTAAACACTCTCACCTAGAGAGACCTTATTACTTTAATTTCCGCATTAATTACTCCTTAATCAGGTACTAACTTGACTGTTGGAGGCGGAGCTCACAGGAGTCTCCGTTATTTTGCAGGTACAGGCGTCCGGTTCCAGTCTCGGAATTGTAACTCTCCCGCAGGACATCAGAAAACCCCGAAACATTTGGCGCCGTCTGTGGGGGGAGTACTTCAGAGAGATGGCATCCAAGTCTGTACCGACTCCTGAAGAGAGGCGTCCCCTAGACGACCCTCAAGTTCAGTCGGACCATGATACCGAAAGTGAATTTGAAGTTGAAGCTCATACAGCTTCAGACGGGACCCTAAGGGCCCGACGTACCCGTCATACCGAAAGGAGGGAACGAGAGCATCTTCAAACAGGAAGCGAGCCAGCAGGCGCACCGCCTGTTCGGCAACAGCCGACTGATGGGTCTGCTCCCATCACAAGGAACGAACTCATGACCTTCATGAGGGACTTCAAGGGAGAGATTCAAGAGTTGATCAACAAGAAGTCGACTGCTCCAGTCAAGGAGCAGTCGGCTAAGAAACCCTCCACTTCACTGAAAAGGAAGCCAGTGCAAGGGCGAGAGGCGACTCCTCATCCTAAATCTAGGAAGCGGGAGCCACCTGCCCTTGATTTCACAAAATTCCGTTATCCTACAGGAAATAGGAAACCTGTTCGTCATATTCAGGCGGACGGGTCGAAGCAAACATTCACAGATGCTCGGCTACTGCTAGAGCAGAAGAGGAGTGACCGATTGTCAGAGTCGGCCTCTACTTCAAACTTTCAAGACAGTTTGCGAAATGCCTCGATGAGGCATACTCAGTCGTACCATGAGAGTCAGTCAGGCGGCACCTCCCGTCAGTCCGGCTTTCATAGTGCTCAGGCGGTACCAAACTTACCATTTGTGCCGCAACAACAGTATTTTTTGCAGCCACCTCCATTTGGTGGACCTGCAGCAAAAAACGTCCAACCTATGGACTGGCAGCTACGGTTGCTTAGACTTGGTGAACAGCCGTCGGCCTTCTCCAAGGAAATTACTGAAGCCGCTCAGCCGGCCAAAGTGAAAAATGTACTAGTAGGCGCCTATGACGGCACTACTAACCCAGAAGACCATTTGATGGCATTCACCAACCTGATGTACCTTCAAGGGTTGGATGATCCCACTTGGTGCAAGTGTTTCCCAGCGACTCTCAAAGGAATTGCACAGCAATGGTTCGGCAACCTGCCGACTGGTTGTGTAAATAGCTTCAGGACGCTTGCTTACTTATTTGCCTCCAACTTCGCCATGAACATCCCTGCGAAGAAAACGACCCTTGATTTGGGAACAATTCAGCAGGGCGAGAAGGAGGGACTTCGTTCTTACATCAGGCGGTTTAACCTGATGAGAATACAGATTCAAGGGTTACCGGATGAGGTAGCTTATACTGACTTTTTTAGAGGTCTCAAAGACGGGTCTACCTTCAAATTTGATTTGGTTCGAAAAAGGGTGGCGACTCTTCAAGAGGCCTTGATTGAAGCAGAAGCCTATATACAGGCGACTGATCTTTGTAAGATAAAACAGTCAGACGGGAAAAGGTTCGACAAAAGAGAAGGACGACAGAAACAGTCGTCTAACAAAGATGAGAAAAGAAAAGAGGTCTGGGCGGCTGATTCCTCTAAACAGCCGGCCCAGAAAAAGAAAAAAGAATTCAAACCATACTCCCCAAAGTATGCGTTTAACAAGGATAACCAGTTTATCCTAAAAGAAATCAAGGGACGGATCTCAATAGAGAAGCCGGTCCCCATGAAGGGTTCTGCAAACAACCGGAACCAAGAGAAAATATGTGCTTATCATGATGACGTTGGTCATCACACCAATGATTGCATCAGTCTTATGCGGTACCTAGACCGCCTGGCTGAGCAAGGTGATCT